CGTGCCATAATTTGTGCATGCTGTTTAATTAGCGCATCAGTAGTTTCGCCCCACCTTCTTTGAAAATGCTCCAATCAAATGGTTTCGTCAGTACAGGTAAGCAGGTAATGAATAATCATCAAAAGTGACGATGTGATATGTTCTAGATTTAAAATTTTGAATTTCGATCTCCGTTTGAATTGCACGGAAAATTAATCGGAGGGTTGGCTCACTTAAATTATGTACATTCCAAAGTATGTCTTTTATATGTGTCTGGAATACCTATACATATATGGATAAAGACATTTTGATTTGATTTGATCATGATATTATTACTAATGATTCATATATACATTATTTTGAGAGCAGTGCTCTTGTCGGCGCTCGGCGTCACTTTATCTACTTACTGCGCTCCGTGATTCTCTTTAAATGTTGACACGGCACGACTGCAACTTTTTAATTAATCTGCTTGTAATGTAACTATGCTTTGTCTCCCCCGTTCCGTCTTTGCTTCAGTCACAATGCTAATACGGTCTGTGTAAACAATTTGAATAACCGTCAATTCGAATAACTAACCAATCTTATACAATACTAGCTCGCGAATTCGTCCGCGTGAAATTAAACATTCACTTAATTTATACAAATAAAATCTAAAATAAATTAGCCATTAGCCTACGTGGCTTCTTTATAACATTACCTATTTGCGAATGAAAGACCAGCCGTTTTAGAGATTACCAAAAAAGACATACAGATAGACAAAAAATAAAAAAAAACTCTTTTGGTGTAAGTACCGTATACGTGCACTAAAAGAATACTAAAGATTAATATATATTCAGTGAAAAGCTTTCAATTTTAATTTACAAATAGACACACTCATATTTTATTTATCATTATAATTAATACATGGAACAAAATCGTTGTATCCTTTTTTGCAATAATTGAGCGGACGGAAGAGTATGAGATTTCGCGCAAACTATAAGAGTTTATATTGAGAAGGTTTTGCAGAATAATCATATTTTTTTAAATTATGTATAAAAATACATTATTAAATTTATAAAAAAGACATTACACTCACACGGATATGTAAAATTGAGAACAGAGTAATATTTTTGTTATTTGTCTATAGTGTTACTGAACGTGAAACATAACCATAATTTTAATTAATTATGGACGAATTTCGACCATTGGGCGACGGCTAGATTGTATAGATAGAACGGCGAAGTAGTCAACTATTGCGAAACATTCCAAATTTCATATCCCTTAGACATTTGAAATTCTAGTCAAACCAGTTTAAACACAAATAAGCGAATACTTGGTGTGCTCTAGGTTCTGTAAAGTATTTGAGCGCTCAAGTTTGCGACTGAATCGGTAGAGGAGTTTATTGGCATGCAATTACATGGACCGATTTCCCCACGTGAAGGCAGGAAATGAGTTCCCTTTGACTAGGACCACATGCTGTTTTATTTCTGCATCCAAAGATTCAATACGATTTATTTCTATAGAAAATATGCAAATATTCTATTACATTATAAAATGTTACTAAAATACTATATTCTGTTGAAATAAAATTTATAAAACGACAAATACCCAACCCTAGATAGTCTAGAGGTGACACGAGCAATATTGGTATTTTTTATGACATATCACACAGCACCATCGTTTTTAAGCTAATAGAATAAAATAGAATAGAAAATAAATGATTTTTCATTCAAATAAACTTACAAAAACTTATAAATTGAAGCACTTTTGAATAGTCATCACATTTTTTAATCTACCGCCCATTCGGAAAGCTGTCTCATCACAAGAAGAACGAGGAAGAAACTTGCGTGTTGCGCTTTTTTGTTACTTTATATTTTAAGTTGAAATTCAATTAATACTCAAATAGAAAAATATTTAATATACGACCAACTGGTTAGGCAACTAAATAAGAGTAAATCAGTCGTAGTGATTACTTCATGGGAATGGAAGCTCCGACCATCGGAAATAAGGTGTTGTACTAAACCGTTAGACCATCGAGGCCATCAATTATTTGATTCAGTGATTACATAAATCTGCGACAGTTTCTTAATTAATTTATATGTCATTACAAATAAGGTAGTACGGCTCACAATTCAATACTACAAGTTCTGCCGATAAAATAAATAAAATATATATTTAAAATGAAAGTCATAACTTATTTAATGATAGGGCGGCTATTTTCCGAACAATAAATTATGCATTTGTGAGAAATCAAACAGCCTCCCCCCCCCCCCCTCATCTATCCCCCTTTCCCCGTGATGCCTGTCTGCTGAAACGTTTCGGTAAATAAAACCTCTGCCGGGTTGTATGTTAATTGAACAGTGATTAATCGATACAGGTGATATGCACCATCACGTAAAATGCATGCGTCAGCAAATAGGCGCATGTTTGTTACATTATTATGATCATTCGAAAAATATTCCTATGATTTCATATCCTTACTCATTAACATTATTCTATGAATTCCAATAAAGACTAGTGGTCAACTATACTTAATTTAAAAATTATTAAGGTTCTATTGTCAAAGACTACACTTCTATAATCACAGTAACTGACTGCCAGTTCCCACGGTGCACGGACAATAAACTAAAGAGCATGCATATATATACTCTTTTGTGTATACATGGTAGTATGTGTAATGTTTTTTTTATCGATTTAATGTATTTTCAATGCATTCTTTTAAATACATAGTAGAATTAAATAGTTTTTTTTTGTTTCTCTATATAAACTATAATATATTATGTGAGCGAAATTTCATACTCCTCCGTCCGCGCTATTTTCATAAAAAGTGGTACAACATTCTGCTTCACGGATTATTATAATGATAATATATCAGGACAATTCCCATTAGCCCCATCTAGTGCCAAGCTACGTAGAGCTTGGGATTACTGATATAATTACATAGATAATTTTTTTAAAATAGATTTGGTTACCTAACATCGGATGACGAGGGAAGGGAATTGTTAGTAATGTGGACTGATGACCCCATTGCTAGCAATGTACCATGTTAGGTTGACCGCCACGCGGTTTCCCCTGGAAACCATTGTGATAAATTCCTGATTAATTTATCACGGTGGGCTAACTGACCTGACCTCATGCTCATTCTATCATTCTCCACTGGTGTCCCGCCAGCGTAAACCGGTAGCGCAGGCGGGTGAACCATACCATTATCATCCATTAAAAAAACATCGGATGGTGCAGCACGACGCATTGTCAAATGCCGATGAAGCCAAAGGCAACACCTGACAAGCTCACATTTTGCTTACTATGTGTAATGTGTAACAAGGACATATTTGTGGCAATCTCTATTATTAACTTAACGATTTCTTACCGGTGTTTCCATCACCAGATAATCAGTAAAAAATATAAATTGAGTCGACCAGATTTGACGAACTATCGACGTTTTGGTCTAGTTAGAATAATAAACATCTGGGGAATGGAATGCAGCTCTCTTAACTACCACGTAAAGAAGCAAATTTGTATGTAGGTACGTTTGTAACGAATAAAGTCAAAAACTACGGGACCGATTTTAAAACTTATTTCACTATTAGAATACTCCATTTTCTTTTAGTAACTCAGGCTATAAAAATTTATGTCTACCGGTGTGAAGCCGGGATGAGCCCTTAGTATATTAGGTATTTGAAGAATCACCATCAAAAGATTGGTTACTCCATCTGTAGCTCTGTAGAACTTATATTACGGTAGTATTGAAGCAGTAACAAGTGGATTTAATACGACAACAGCGCGGACAGATGGCGCTGTTATTGCTAAATCTATCACATGTATTGACACTACTTTTCTTTAACAGCCTTTATTTGACACGTGGTTCTGCAAGTATCTCATAGAGGGTGTTATTTCTAATTCAAGATAAATAAAAAAATATTAATAAAAGAAATTTACATGAAGGAATTCTTAATCTAAAAGTTTTTCTTAATAATAATATACGCTTCATATAATCATAGACTGGAAAGATCCTAGTGTACTATTTTTAGTGGATTATTTGTATGTAATTTAAATCAATGCCTACAATTTTTATGGCAAACCACGTGAACTTATATATAAAATTCCATCCTTGTACTGTGTTTTTCAGCAAATAAAATAAATTTTTAGCCAATTTCTCTAATAAGGAAATAATGACAATGACTACTTGTACATGCTAATATTATTAATGGGTAAATCTGTTATCACTTCGTTACCATTATACAATTAGCACGTTGAACCGAGTTTAATAATATTATACATGAAGTTACAATTCTACCCTAAAAATAAAAGACACAGTCGCCACAGTAGAAAATACAGCCTATATTTTCGTCCACAATGATTTTATACCCAGCCTTTTTAAACTATATTATTTCATTATTATTTATTTACATTATATACGTTATTATAATTAATAACCATTATAATAATAACACTCGTACTAGCGGCGATATTATTATGAGCGCTTTTGTATGAAGTCTAAGTAGTAACTGAAAACAAGCTGACAAGGTTTGTCCCCTGTGCAAACAATGCAGTGAGTTACTACTTCTGGCATCAATTTTTGAGGAGAACAGAGGTCATATATAATTATTTATATATATTTGTACTTACTGTAGTCATTTTTATATATGTACTCTGCTATTTACAAATTACGTATTGCAAAATGTGTTTACTTTATATTGTAATATCCATCTATAGTTTGTTTGTTTTATTACCGAGATAAATACAAAAAAATAAGATTAAACAAATCGGTCTCACAGGTATCCCTATCCCGCTGTAGCTGGTTGATTGTACATTATTACAAATTGTCATAAAAAAAAAACAGAACATACTTAGAGATATCTTGTATCTCTAGTTTTAAGTTATTAACCTGCCTAGACGAAGTTCTCAACTTAGTTAGGAACATATGCCGGGGCAAAGGAGTTCACTCCGAGGCCCCTTCCTCCCTTCACGTTCACCTCGTCACTATACTGTGTATGTGTGTTGTTGAGTTGTGGCTTTTCTATAGCTCCATTAACACTAACCTTGCACTGAATATGGTGGCGAGCGCTATGAAGCAGCCGTCTGCAACTCGTGGTGGTCCAGTGAAGCATTTGTCAACTGTCCAATCAAGTAGCGGCCCGATGTCGGGGTTACATTCCAGTAACAGCACGATTGTCTCCCGGGCGAGCTCGTATATCTAGCGGAAACATTGCGATGTCAAATCCAATTGAATCTAATTATATGTAGTGGCAATGACAATTAATTATTACAAAAAGACACTAAAGGAGATACGATTGAAGGACGTGGAGATGCGCTAGCTTTCGATACGTGCAATCTTCCTCGTTTTCTTTGTCTACATTAACATGCACATTCTTACCTGCATGAAAGAGGATTCGCACGTGAAAGAGCGTATGCAAATGCAGCTATTGGGTCGAGTCTGTCATAAAGACGTCTGTGGAGGCTCCTCAACCACTCTTCACACACATTACCATATTATATACTCTAGGATATATTATTACCTTGTCATTAGTAGAAGAGAGCATTTCACTGAGCCACGGGTACAGTGGGCCGTCCTCAGCGAGGGCAGTCGGTGCGAAGCAGGGACCGCAGCACACCAAAGCACTCATCGCCTATGGTAAACACAAACACAATTGTAATAATAATAACATTCATTTACTAGGTCCAAGCTAAGCAGAACTTTCGTTACGAGTACTAGACGACTGATAGATAAACTTAGATACATTTTTTTGTATGCTGCGTTGAAAATCAAGGTAATAAGAGTGCTTTAAAGGCAATTTACTCACTATTGAAGTGATATAATTATTAGTGTTATTAGACTGGCATGTACTTATAGTTTAAATAAAAGTCTCTAAAAATAAAAAAAAATAAAAATGATTTTTTTTAATAAACATTATTTCGAATTCGTTCTTATACCATCCAGTTAAGTACTGAACACGTGTCCTTGATAAGGAAAAGGATAGGAAAGTCCTATGTCGGTATCAAGGGTCTATACTAAAAACGATACTTTCTATTTCAAACCGATATTGAGATTAGTGAATACCTTGAGTGCCGACAAGTTGAGCCTGTCGTCGATCTCGTGTGATGCCGTCTGCGGCACCAGGTTACCGAGGTACCTGGCCAGCGGACCACACCATCCGCTGAACAACGAGAACAGGCTGCGGCACAGCTCCTTCTTCATCAGCGAGCCATACATTTCCACTAAACATAATTATACAACTCAATGAAGCCACAAATTTACATTTAAAAATATATTGGTTACTGACGGTCTCGGTGGTCTAACGGTTACATATCAAGTGAAACTTACACGGGAAGCTTTTGATGAGTTCAGTGACGAAGTCTGCGAATGTGAGCCTCTGTTCCCGGGCTGCTGGCGCGTCCTTCTCAGCCTCCACTTCGAGGCACTGCCGCGCGCCGTCCAAGTACTCCGTCAGGGATGGATGCAAGCTACCACTCTCCAACGTGAACGTACTGCAACAATATATGGTCATTACTATAGGCTGATTTTTAATCTCGGAGGCTAAATTGACTTAATCGTGTAAATTACGATACCGTTGCAAAACAGTAGTTTAAATAATTTCGTTACAAGCATTTTAAAGTAACCCGCACCACCCTAGGCGACTGATGGTTGGGGTCTCGGGGCAAACCCCCGGCATTAACTCCGGGGACAACAATCCCCAAAACAATCAATTCAATTCTTCTAAAAGAAGAAATGAAAATGCAAAACAGCCATTTTTTTGTCAATAATTGGATTGTCCACGAGTACCGATGTAGTTATGGCAGTTAACACTAAAAATTGATCATAATAAACAGCATTAACTCTAGAATTATAAAATTGTGAGAATTCGACTCTAAAATTAAAACAGTAAAGTTTAATCTATATTACTTTTGTAGGTTAATAAATGCTTGCTATGTCAGATATCTTGTTACCTATTAGCGAAGGTCTTTCTCTGTGCGATGAGGAGCAGCATTTTGTTCAGATGTAGCCGGAGGGCATCCCGTCGCCTCCGGCGTCGCATGTTCTCCTGTTTGCGGTCTACCGCTTCCCGCAGCAGTGGCACCAGCTCTTCCATCAGGTCCCTGGTGGAATTGATGGACGTATCGTTATTAACTTTATATCTTTCGAGGATTCCTCATCATTCGTTACAAGGTTAATACTTACATGACCACAATCAAATCACAATGACCCTACATTCAAATTCCCAGAGTTCATTGGATCAGTTATTTTCGCACTATTTATGTATTTAACTTTATTTTATGAGAACTGTGTCCATACCAGAAATTATATTGTTGGCACAGTAGAGAATGTAACACTAGACGTGGGCTAGACATGTCAATTATGGCAAGTTTGGTTCAATATATTGTCAGCCGACAAACAGTTTTGATTGAAAGTGAAAAATGAAATTCTAATTACATGGGGCATGTTCCCTTAGTTCATTGAAATGGCAAAGAAGTATGAGTTCCACGAATGTCATATGACGACACAGGCGTACTAAATGCTTACTTGAGCGCATCGGGGTTGATGTTCCCGCAGGCGGCCACTGCTGCATCCCGTACCTCGGGCACCTCGCATCTCGCCAGCGGCACTGCAAGCTTGTGTAACGAGCCCGGCGACGCTTGTGCACTACGGGCCTCACCGCCACTTCGCTCGCTCAGCGAGTCCGGTGACGAGCTGCATGTACACAGGGACAGATTATAACATGCCAATGGCTTGCACGCAGTTTATTAGTATTCTACAAAGTTATTTACAAATGCTTTTATATGTACTAGCATTAGAACACGCGAGGGCTTGTTATGATTCATTTCAAGATTTTTTTCTAAGTGGATACCTACCCTGAACTTTTGAAGTTTTAGGGCTGGTTCTTGGAACTGAGATTTTTTTTAGACAGTCAGTCCCGAGAAGTTACTTTTTATATTAATATCAAATTGATTTGCTACCAGCTTTAAGGAGGAGCCGGAGTTTGTTAGCATAAATAAATCCACTTTAACATTACACTAGAAGACTGATTAATTATTAAAAACTGTTCTAATAAAAAAATTGTAACAAGCATATATTCATGTTGTACTTATGAATAAACACATTGTAGCCTCCAGCAAAATGAATATAACAAAAACTAGTCACTGTGAATAAAAAATGGAACAAAAATTGTTTCTACAAGGCTTATAATATATATAAAACGCAGAACCTGTTGTGTGACGAAACATCCTGTTAAAGACAAACATAAAACATAAAGTGTCGCTAACAAGCTTGCATTGTCATAACAAAAATGTCGAACTAATAACAAACAAAAGAATGATTAACATAAAGTAAAACACTAGTGTACATGTTTTTCCGTTGTATATACATAGTAATGTTATATTTTATACCGATGAATGAATATGACGTACATTGACTGCACTCTATATCCTACATATCCGTATAATAATGAAAAAGCACATAATATGACGATATTAATTATTTACCAATTATTCCCTAGGCTAGAAACTACCACTATTCCGGCATAACAAAGCTATATATGTTTTAATAAACATGCGTTATGAATTCTACCGATATCTCCTATTAGTACAAGAGCCCAGTGCTGATTGCTGCAGATAATACACACTAAAAGATACTTGAACTAATTGAAAGAATAATGGAAATATCATATTATAGGGCTTTACTGCTTAGAAACAAATATAACAAGGTATAAAAGTCAACAATCATAGCTGTTAACAGTCATGAAATTTATTTTTACTAAGATTTTTTGAGGGTATATAGGTATAAAACTAATTCGACATATGAAGTTTATAAAAAAGGCAATGGTTACCTCTTACTCTCTATCATTACACAAAAATTTCTAATTTGGAGACTGCAGTACAAAAATATAGAAGTTCTAATATCAGTCTAATAAATCAAACTTACGAGTAGGCAGGTATGCGCTATATTCTTTTTCTCATTCAATTTTAATTGCAATTAGTTTCATTTAAAAAATCTGATACCTGCACAAACCAGCAGCGGAATCTTAAGGTATGAGACGTAACGAGCGTGAACTGCGTGCCAAAAAAACCACGCCACATCTACTTGTGTCCTATCAGTCACATCAACATCAATTAGCACACAGTACGATGTATACGTTAGAAACGCATGTTCGTTACCCCCACAGTGTCTCCGGACACGCCGAGAGGAAGAGCGCACTGTCCAGGCAGAAACAAAACGTGTGACGTGTAAGCAACGACATAAGTACGAGTTTGTGGCGGTCCAGCTAAGTATACACTAACTGAGAATGTCTGTACATTCATTCATATGACGTTATACACAAATTAATGTAATTATAGCTAAATTTGCAAAAGATAACTATGTGCGAACTAATTTTATGAATTAAGGTATACTTCAGCTCGGCCGCCATTGGAAATATTTACAAGGTTGTACGTTATTAATAGGGTTTAATTGCACGTGTAATCATAGTAATAAGAAAGTGGTAAGAGCGTTTATGTAAATATGTTTGTTTTGATTTTATCCGCAAATTTACAAACTTACGTAGATAGATATATAATTTTATTTGATGTTAATACTAAACTAGAGTACTTCGCATGGGATTCCGTATTTCCTACCTATTGAGTTTGAAAGTCGCAATAGTGATTATCGACGCTATATAAGATCATTCCTGTTTATAGGTCATACAGCAAATGAATTCAGAATATAACTGAAATTCTATAACAAACAGATTACATACTATATGAGGCCGAAACCGGTCTATTTATTCAACACTTTACATTGTAACGTAATATTTACTACAAATAAAGTTGGAAGTTAGCCAATCCTGTAATTGAATACTGTAATTGTCTATGAAGCCATTTAGAAACTTTTATTATTATTTATTTTTTAATGAATAATAAAATTATTGTTAATCAAGGATGTTGTTCACTAACGCGGAGACACGGTCGTAATCATCACAAAGAGTACTAGACAAGCAACATACACAGGCGTCTCTCGTAATAACTCACATCTACACTACATTTTGTATCATAATCGTTATTAGACAAAGCTCACTATCGTCATATACAAACACAAAACATATAATTATCGCTTTTATGTTAAATCCATACCATGAGTGGACAGTTACGTGATGGCATCTGACCCTGTGACGTAACACGAATGTGGATTGTGACAGAAACTAGAGACAACACAACCTTTAATGGAATGACGTCACTCAACACCGGCCGAATGCAACAAATTTGACGGTCAACTTTGTACTCGGTCGACATCGCGTGTGCGCTAGCTGTGCACGGAACGTATGTGTGGCTATGAGCAATGCACGTACGTACAGTGACCTTCGTCGCTGGCGTCCTCTCCGATGAGTAAGAGGCCACTGTACACATTCATACAATAATGCAATGACCCGATGCCGATTCCACCCGTCCTCTCTCTAGAAATTAAATAACTAAATAATGGTTACAGAATTAAAACAGAGATGGAATCGGCAACACCTATGATGATCAGAGATCGAATGCGACGTGCACATAGCGAGCGACAATTGGCCACCTCGTCCGTTTGTGTTGTCTGTGTGCGCGCGCATAGCTCAAGGGCAGCGTGAAGAAACCGCCGGGCGCGTTGAGGCTCTCGCTCGAAGAACTGAGAGCAGCCTGCCCGAACCAACCTTCCGCCTCAGTGTTACTGGACAGAGTGTTACCACAGAGAATTACATATACAGAGTGAAAACTTTTCACCCGGAGCTCATTCTGGTAAGTTTAACCGTTGTATAGTAACACGATAAATACAAACAATTCGGTGTATGTCACTGTGTCCTTGGAGTGGTAAGATCTTGTCCGTGTTATTTGTGTACGACCTTCCAGATTCGTTTGTGCTCAAGCCGACACTTGCATATATGTAGTGCCCTTGACGATACCGTACCTCTTTACGTCCGGCGGTAGGAGACGCCATAATTTCCTTAATATAATATACGTGGCGAGATATAAAGTTTTTTTCAATGTGTCGTTACAATGATGTCTTGTGTAGGTGTGTATAATGTATTAATTGAAATGTAGTTTTAATTAAACGATGCGATTTTATTCCTTATAACTTTTAATTGTATGTCTCTGATAAGTTTCTTTTGATGTGAAAAAGCAGAGTACACTGTAGTGTGACCAGAAGGTACACAAGGTTATAATTTAACATTTCAGCACTAAATGCAGGCGTCTCATGCATCGAATCACGGAGACACCTCTAAGTACTAGACGCTCTAATCTATGACACTAAAAGACCGTGGGAGACACACGCAAACTGTATTCAAAAGTACGATGATAAATTTAAACACGTGACAGAGATTTAGCAAATCAAAAGTCTCTACTGGTCAGCACATCCAGTCAATGACACATCGATATCAAGTTACTGCCAATTAAAATAATTGTAACGAATGAAAGGACTGCTACTTCGTGACACGCGGCCTCTGAAGCGAACGTGGTTTCGGTTAGTGCTTTTATTCTCTTGAGTAAGGAAGAGATGAACAAAGCATAAGTGCAATAGACACGTTCGCATCAGATACAACTTGTACAGATTTTATTGTATAAAGTATGGTTGTTGTCTCTGGACCCTGAACGATGGATAAACATTATAATTTCAAATTGCCTATATCTGTTAATTATTAATTAAATCAGTGAAATGCATACTGCATAAATACTATGATCTGATGGTGGCAAATAAACACAGATCAAATAATAACATAGTCAATGGATAGTTAAAATATCTGGGAAATAACGTGCGCGTTGTCGGTCCATAAGAAATTTTTACATGGCTTTTTCATTGTATCCTCCTAGTTATAATCTCTGACACTGTAAATCTTTTGTTGCTGTGTTCAACAAAGTAAATTTCTTTTTCTCCTTCCTTATTACTTTTATATAGTTTATTGCTAATTATGCGTTAATTTAGTTAATTACAATACTAAATACGATTATTAATTAATTTTCATAATTATAAGTGAAAGATTTTGAGTTTTTCTGACTGCTTCTAGGTTCAAAATGCTTTGTTATTGCATTTATATGTTTAACTCGATATAAGACTTATTTTTTATATCCATCGTTTAGGCATTCGTGTAGTAAGTGGTGGCGGTGTGTAGTTGTTGCAGTGAGGGGAAAAGTTTAAGTGTAGTCGTTACCTGAGGCTGAGATCGGGACTTGCGCACCGAATCACTGGATTAGGCACCGCGGGGACCACCAAGTATGCCATTGTCATGTAGTACTTCCACACCTGGTGTACACACAACAAATTTACCATTACAGGGGCTGCACATTGTTTGTCATTCCAATTATATAATGGCTTTATCATAAAAACTAAAACTATTCATCACTTATATATACTTGAAGGCTACGGCGGTTTAATAGTTTAGCTCACCGTCTTACTTTCGACAGTTGCGGGTTCAATTCCTCGCAGGATAGGATAGAATAGAATAGAATAGAAACATACACTTGTGTTACGATACAAATGATACACGATACAAACACTTGTATTCAGAAGTATGATTGTTTGTATCAGTGTGGGTGTTTTTTATGTACGTACGTAACTGATTTAGACACAGAGATACATATTATTTATAAATGCCAACAGGATTATTTATAAATAATATGTATCTCTGTGTCTATATCAGTTGTCTAGAACCCACATCACAAACTCTGCTTAGCTTGGGACTATAAAGTTCTGTGGGAATGGTACTTAAAAAAAATATACATTTATATTATATACCTGCATATAGCCATCTCGTTCCTTTTCTGGTTTCCGTGGCAACGCCGGACTCCGCGAAAGTAACGATGCACGATTATCATTAACGGGCCTGTAACAATGCCCAATTAACTACAATTGTTTCCACTGTTATATATTTATGATGAGATGTTATTATTGATATTTTAGATTTTACTCCCGTTCCGAAACTTATATGTTATTAACTAATTGAGGATTTTTTTATACCACGAAGGTAGCAAGCATACGGCCCATTTGATGGTAAATTACCGTAAGGCTCAGAAAGTTGACATGCTCAAGCCCATCTGGCCTGAGCATGTCAACTTTCTGAGGTTTCAAGCGTACATAGGCATGTCCGCTTGAAACCTCAGAAAGTTGACATGCGTGTTACCGACCTTTAACAAACATTAACATACCCATCATGAAAAACCCCACGCTGTAATCTCTAGAGAAAACCTCGGCAGTTAGTTCATTCCACAATATAAATGTACGCGGGAGGGAACTCCTCTGAATCTGTATTATCCGAGACCACTAACGCTGCTTTAACGTAACAATTAATTGTCATTACAAAATGGCGAACATCTGGTTATGGAGCAACAGCATATAATTCTTAAAGATGTCTTTGGAATTATCAATAACTCTATAATTATGTGGTCCATCTGTGTCTCCATCTCCAAAATTTGTGTAATAAAAAATAAAATTGTAATAGTGAAATGGCATCCAATATTTGCGCAAACACATGCGAAAGAGAGAACACAAAAATATTTAAATGTAATCACTCATGATTGCGAACACTGACTATCCCACACCGAATCGCAAGCGGTTTGATCGCGCGTTATAGAACGTGTCGTGTAATTGAAATGAATTAATGATGATGTACTTACGCCGGTTCGATGATGGTGAACAGTGCATGTATCCTGGCGTGGAGTATCGGCCACGCTTGCAAGATTGTTGCCGGACATTTTGCTGGCACCCTACTCCGCTCCAGCAAACCGAACAGTACAACCTACATATATAAAAAATTACATATGTCAATATGTCTACTGTTATTTAACATAACTATCTCTAAGTAATCAGATCAGTCCAAATAGGCAATTGCCGTCCTGATCATACCAAACAGCACCATAAATCTCTGTTCTTTTGCAATTCTATATCTGATTGCTATTTCATATATTAAATATATATATGAATTAGCAATCAGACGGCAGCCCACATTTAAAAGTGTCAACTATAGCATATACATATATATATACATAACGGCGGTCATATATAGACGGCGTCGGTCGTTCGATTTTTCACATGCTACTAACATATGTATTCATGAATATGATTGTTTGTATTGGTCTGGGTGTTGGGTTCTATGTATACGAAAGCATGTATTGACGTATTTATATCAGTTGTGTGGTACCATAACACTTGCTCTGCTTAACTTGGGATTAGATCATCAAATTATTTTCTTATTGGGCTTACTTCCACATGATATGTAAATTGTAACACAAATAAAACTGTTCATTGAATTTAGACATAACATTGTACTGACCTCCCAAGGATCTGCACCATTGGACGCGCTACCACTCCAACTATTCTTCGTTGAGCTGTCGTCATGTTGATGACCTACAAATATTGTGTTTAAAAGGGTTTATAAACATTTGTTTAGAGTACAAAACCTAAAATAACATGGCATTATAACTAGTAGTCAAACTCAATTGTCCTATTTTTTGATAACTTATTTGTATTGTTCTAAAAAAATACTCATTGTATTTTTTTTACCCAGCATATCTATTAATTAGTTATCGTCTCGGCTTTGCATGAGCGTCCATGTATATACGTCGTCTTCCACTGATACTTATCGGCCGTCATATCTGAGCTTACTCTCCTTTTATACATATCATATTTCACACAATCTATACATCTTTTTTTGGTCATTCATAAATTTAATAAATTCCAATAATGTATACCTGCTGTCCATACGGCGTGACTCCGTTCCGCTACCCACACGAGATCGAGCAGGCCAGCAGCCAGGATTGCCTGCTTCTCAGCGGGAGGCAGTAGGGGCAGGCACTTCTCCGCAAAGTGGGGCACGTGTATGTCCGCTGCGTCTATCAGGGCTGGCTCGTCCCGAGATAGTTGCAGTTTCTCTAGCAGGTACTTGCATTCCCTGACCAAGAATAAACTATTTAAACTTCTGGATTCATTTTAATTAAATTAATTAATTTATACTGAGTGGGAGAAATAGAAATAATCTATATTCAAATATCTAAATTCATTTTTTTTTTATATTTTAAGTATGTAAAAAATTTTAATAGTTATATTTTTGTAAATCTACCACACATTTGAAACGCTGACTCATCAACAAAACGAATGAGAAAGAACTTGCATGTTACTTTTTTAAAGTGTCCTTCAGAATTATTTTTGTATAATTCTGTGTAAATTTGTGTTATTTATAGCCTACTCTTTTTTAATGGATGATAATGTAATGGTGCACCCATCAGTTGACGCACCAGTGGAGGATGATAAAATGAATAACTGGTCAGGTCAGGCAGCCTATTGTGCCAGTTTCACTATTTATCATGATAGTATCCGAGGAACCTCATGAAGGTCAACCTGATATGGTACATTGCTAGCTATGCCTTCATTGGTCCACATTACTAACGATCTCCTTCCCCTCTGAATATTTCTATTACTATAATAATTAACATGTACAATAGATGGACATAACCTACCGTAATATATGGACAGCTAGCCGCCTCGGATACGACTTGGATTGGCACAGCATGACCAGACCCAGGGCCTCCGCCCCTCGGATGACAGTCGCCAGAGGCTCGGACTTTGTCGGTGCACCATTGGTAGTCGGCTCACCATTCCGCCAACTCGTCAACAGTTGGAGCAGCATTCGCAAACCATTTTCAACTAGTTGAGGCGATGTGTCCTGAGGAAGCAGGTATACTCTCTTAAATACTTATATGTCAATATGTGAAGCGAAAAGTTTGTACCCGTTTTATGAAAATTGTACACTTCTTATTTATATAGAGAAGGCGTACAGAAGGCAATTTCTATTTAAATTATTCATAAAAAATGAAATAAACTGATTTGGCTTAAAAATATATACAACCCTAAATTTCTAACACCCGTATATCCTCAGAACCAATTTTTTTAAGCAATATTATTTTATAGTAATACAAAGTTTGCCGAGTCACAACTATATATGTATAATTTTGTTACCTGCACTTCTTTCGCTAAGAACTGTGTGAAACCGGCCAGAACGTCCTGTCTCCATTCGGGGAAGTCCACAATGAGGGTCTGGAGGCTTTGGAATGAGAGTCCTCGTAGCTCCTCGTCCATGTGCACCGTGAGACGACATAGTAGGTCTACCAACTCGCCGGAGCTCATACCCTCCGGTATAAGTCTGTTAGTGGAATATCAGAACAATGTTGATTGAAATAAATACCAAAATAACTCATCTAGACTAAACTTATAGGAAAGCAGGATTTCTTTTTATATCTTAGGACAATTCACACAATACCATCTAGTCCCAAGTTATGTAGAGATTGTGTTATGCGAACTAGACAACTGATACAATTACATAGATACTTTAATATTTTTATATACTTAGTACAAACCGATACAAACGATCATAATTATGAATACAAATGTTTGTAGCGTGCAGTAGAAAGTAAAGAAGTGTGCTAAACTGCTAGACCATCGCGGTTGTAAATATGGAATTTATTACTTATTAATTATTATTTGGAATTGGAGTCAAAGGTATGAAATTGAAAAGCAGAATTGAAGATGAAGTTAGATGGATAAAAAAATACTATATAGAAGATGGACAGATCATGATAGATAAGGTGATATCATTGCAGTTGCTAATAATTTGAGACAATTGGAGACAAGACGGAGGTTTATGCTTGTTAGCAAACAATAGATAAATAATCTAAATGTAACATAAAAGAACTATGATAACTGAATAAATGATTTTATTACTATTTGCATTGGAGTGAAATTGGTATGATACTGATTTTGGATCTTATTAACTTCTAGCTGCTTACCACGGCTTTCCTCGTGCGTAAGTTTTTGTCTGTCATTTTTAGGAAATCCTGTCTTAATACAACTCTATATATGGGTACAATATTTGTAGCATACATTTCTAGAATAAATTTAAGCACTTTTCAATAGTCATATTTATTTATATTTATATTCTAGGTTTGGTTATACTCGTCAGTCAGTCAAGTCTCTTTATGAGGTATAAGTCGTTACAAAGATGGCGCACTTGCCTCGGTATAGCTGCTACGCATGTGCGGAACAAATCGATTCGGGGTTTTCGTTCCCCGGTATTGATTTCTTGTTCTTTGGTAACATTCTGAGTGTTGGTCAGCATCAGGGGCCGGCCGTAATGTGCGTCTAATGCTCGTAGAATTTCCACTAAAACACGCCTCACGTATGGAAAGTATGCGCTCATTCCGATTGACCTAGCCGTTTCATCTGTCAGCATTTTGTTTAGAAACGTCTTCTTGACCCTTAGCGTATTCCCGGAGGGCAAAGTACCAGCCGTCCTGGGCATTGGTGGTTCACCTTCTTTCTGCTGCAGACTATCAGCGACTACGAGGAACGCTCGTAAGCCTATAGACATCCGTTCAGGAGTGAGAATTATTTTAATCTGTCGCCCAACCATAAGTAGGTCATAAACTATTTCTCTCATTGCGAAGTCGAGCCTCTCTTGTGCTATGAATTGTATGATTTTAACGAAGATGTTAAGGGGTGTGTCTCGGGGTACGACACCCTTTGATCCTTTAGGGAAGAGTGAGTTGACGATGCTCTGGAGGCGGGACTGCGTCGCCGAGTTGCTCTCACATTTAATCCTTATCATGTATACCCACAGCAGGCGATATAATGATTCTGTTGATGCATATAATAATATTATTAATAATAATAACCCAGAACAATTCTTACGGTGTCGTCTAGTTCCAAGCTTTGCAGATAAATATTACATACATACCATGCTCATACAAAGATTATGAATACAAAATCTTTGTATCGTATGAGGAATCAATAGCGAAGGACTATGGCATAGAGTTTTTAAAGAATGTTTCTTAAGAGTCGGTAACGCGGACTTGACACCTCCAGTGTTTCTGGCGTCAATAGGCTCTAGTAACAGTTTAGCATCAGATGGGCCATAAACTTGATTACTACCATCAAAATATAAAAAATCGAACCTGCAGCACTCAGTAGTAAGACGGTATAGTACTACAACATTCAGGCCATTGTTTGAACTTACATAATGTGTACACTTCTCAAAAGTTAACATGGTGTCAAATTTTACTTCTCTACTTCAGTAACAATAAATAAACTTTTAGTAATTCCGAATTTTATTATTTCTATTAAAAATCAATGTATCACTCACCTAATGCTACTCTACACATCTTCGGGTCCCTGTTCTTGAGATGCGAAAGGCACATCGCTAAAAAGCAATGCCAGTTGGCCAAGAAGAATTGCTTCTGTGAGACGCAGAGGAGGCAGGTAACGAGTGGGAACAGTGCCAGTCGGTGTTTGGACTTGGTGCTCGCATCCAACGTGTGGCTGTACAGCATCTCTACGAAGTTCTTCAGGCACGGCACGTTCACTTCATTCTTCACCGTCTATATGATTTCATACATTATTGTATCAATACTAACTGACGACTCTTAAACTAAGTAATAAATAGTTCATAAATAAATTATACTTAAGTTAAAATGTAATTATAATATATACGTAAATAAATAAGTATAATAATATGTCAGCTTTGTGTAAGATAATATTTTTTTTAATCGGCCAATACTGGAGCTGGCTCCTAGTTCGCGAGGTAAAGAATTCCACAATAATAATTTATAGGGACTTTAATATATTTTGGGAAGCTTAATAATTACAGGATTTAGCCTGTAATTGTTATTAATCTTTCCAATTAGTCCTCTTAAAAGCAGGCAGAGAGAAATATTAGAGAAAATTAGCGACTATCCCTCAAGACAAGCAATTCCTTTAAAGAATATTCTAATTTACCTTAATAAGAAAATCTAATGAAACAAAATAGATAATTCAAATTAATTAGCTGAATCAGGATCAAAGCATAAATAAATAGTAGAATATGCAGAACTCAAGCCTCTAGTATCAGGACAGACTATAAAAAGTCATCTGCATATCCTGTGGACCTCAGTCTCGTTTATTTCAGCCACCAAGCAACTTACGCTATGCTATAATAGTGCTATTCCGTCAGCTTGTCAACCCAATTACAATAAAAGAAAGATGTATTTATCCAAATTTCAATATGAATGTCTTACCGCAGCGACGGGCACTAGTATCTCGACGAAGAGGCCAGCTAGAGCGTGCCTGATGTCTTTGTCTTTGACCTCCAGGAAGTACTGGGCACACTCCTGCAAGAACTGGAACGACGCCTCGAACTCCTCTATGGGCACCATCTTCACCCGGAAGAATTTCATGCCCATGAGGAGGGATATGATGCTTTGCGTCGTGTGAGGAGACGGCTCACGAGACTTCAGTTCCTGGACAGAATACAAAAGTTTGAAAGACTAAGCGAAGCGAAAATAACATGGTAAGAGGCACAATGAATACCGCACATGCATAGCCATTCCAGAGGTTAATGTATGTGTGGTATCACTAGTGTCACATGATGATGTAATGTTGAAGTGCTGTTCATGTATATAGGCCAACCACCTGACAGGCCATGTATGTTAGGCGTTCCATTTACACATAAAAAGACACAATACTATATAAATATATGACTTATCTAAACTAATAGCATAAATAGATATTTGATGCTGTGTTTGTATTGGTAAATACTACGATAATTTTAAAATTGTAATCAACAGTAATGAACAGTAAATACAATAAATAAAATTGGTTATATTTTTATCAAATTACTATAGAAAAAAACTAGACATGTTAATAAGTATCCAGAAATAAGTATAATACTGTCAACATAAAAATCTAATTAAAATGTATTATTCGGGTGGGTCTATTGCAGACAACTATGATCAATCAATCTACTCTACTCACTGATTTGTATTAGTTTATAACATTTGGCAATTATATAGTGTACTGCCGCGATATACATTCGCCTAGTACTGGGTCTAATATATAATCAGCTTTGTTATGTTGGTAAATTTCGAAATAAATAAATGGATGCCAAGGAAATGTATTATATATTCACATTAGTACTCAAGAATGGCAAACCATATAATAGTCTCCTATTTCGTCTGGGATTGCTTAGGTCTGGAGGCTTTGGTTGGGCATCATCGTGTTTGCCAATACAGTTACATAAAAATACAGATTCCATGTATTCCAATGTATACCTTCAATTCAGCAGTGAATCGTTTTTTGACGGAGGCAAACCGTGACTGCGCCAGCACGCCAATGACCTCAGCATACAGGTCAGCTATTATGTGCACGTTGGCTGCGTTGGGATTGGATTGCAACCTGCAAATATTTGATAACCTGAATACCAATTCGACCGATAATAATCTGTGTTAATACGTGAATAAAAACTTCGTTGTCCTTTTTACGAAAATTGCGTGGTCAGAGGAGTATGAAATTTCGTACATTTATAGTTTATACAGAGAAATGCAAAATGCTAATATGTTTTTAATTTATGAATCTCCCTAATCTACTAATGCGAACAAAAAAAATACAGTATTATATGTTATTGACTATTCTTTTATAACATTTTTTTATATTCCCTTTTAAATATGCTATTCAACAAGAATGGTATTTTATTAATAAAAGAATTTTTTATTACAAAATGATATTTTTGTACAGAGAAAGCTCGCTGCATATTAAATATTGTAGTAGCCAGCATTATTTAGAATTCATTGTTCAAATAAACTTATGTTTTAAGCACTGCAACAAATTGATCATCTTAAAAATGACATCTGACGACATGGTTTGCTTACCCTTCTTTGTAATTGAATCTTTTGAACGCCACGTTCTCTATGTATTGTACCAGGTCCTCGTGACCAGGGTGAAACGGCAGTTGTTTGAGGACCTCGATGAGAGCCAGACAGAAGAGGAACTCGACGGCCAGGTCGCGCCGCTCCGCCTGCAACTCTTCACAGCTGCGTTCCACCGCCTCAGTGCCGGCGCCGCTGCCAGACACTATGTAGATGATGCTGTAATGAATTATATTTATTTATTTAATAACCTATGTGTTATTCTGATGTATAAGCTATAATATTGAAAAATTCCATTAAAATCGAGATAGTTTTTGCGTTAAATTAAACCAAATTCATCCACAGTCACGAACTTCCACATTTATAATATTATTATTATGTAAAAAATATTATTATTATCTAAATTACAAAAAAAATCTTTCAACAGATGCAATATAATGATTAGTAAGTAGTATAATTACGTTGTACAGTGTTAATGTTATTTTTTAATTTCATATTATTAATTGAGATCATATTTATTTCTACCTTTAAATAATTATCACTCCAAATCCATATATGAACAAACTTATAACAATTCACACATTCTGTATGTAATATAAATATGGCGTAGATTGATTCCATTGAGCTGCAGTCTCGTGCATGTACCTGTGTATGATCCATCAATTCATGATTGGAATCACCCTCAATATCATTTTCATTGACATTCATTACGGCTTGATCATCATTGACAGTGACATTCAAATTGTCGCTTGCTTCAATACATCCGCAATTTATTGTTACTATCAATCATTTCAAATGATATGGTAGTGATTTTACAAGGGATAAAGGCGTGACAGCTTAACACAACATATGAGGGGTACGTCGTCACATGATGACGTGATAACCGTGATGCTCTCCTTAGGTTTAACGGTCAAGGTCTTATCCCAGTCACATAAGCCAAAAAGTAGTCCATTAATATGTTACTTCAAATAAAATTAATATAAGCACTTTTAAATAGTCATATTTTTTTTTATTCTACCAATGATTTAGACGTCAGACTCATCACAAGAAGAATGAGTAAGAAACTTGCGTGTGGTTCCTTTAAATAAATGTTATTCTAAGTAAATACACATTATTAGGCATGCAACAACTTTTTGCAATCAGATAATATTGTCAGTGCTATGAATTTTAAGTTAAATATATTTTTACAAAAACATTATTATAATTTACAAACTCTCCAATTTAAGACTACTCTTGTAAAAACACATTTGAATTCAAAACCTCGTATGACATCGGCTAAAAATAATTTTACTAATATTTCATTGTAATTTTAATTAAAGTTTGCCGTTGACTATTGCAATAAACTTTTGTATAGCAGCAACTAGTAGCCGATATATTATACTGACTAAGTATCTACTTGTCCTCCACACTAATTAAATAACGACGGCCGTTCATTAGAGTGTGTCTGCTAATTTCTTTGACCTTCTCATTGTAATGCCGCATTGTAAACAATAACAACTAGAAAAGTTGGAACTTATAGAATTGTAAACATTATTACAGTAAAAAAATCAATATTACAATAATAAACTTTACATATATGAAAAAAAAGTTGTCTGTTTTTTATTTATATTTTTAACACGAAATAAGAGCATGTTTGACATCTCTCACCTGATTTGAGATTACTTTTATTTGATTTGTATTATAAATACAAATCAAATAAAAATTTACTTCTTCCTATAAACAATATTGTTACTATTTTGCTACAACATTGAAGTTTTATATTAGGGAAACACATAGCCTATGGTCTTCTTTAATTATCACTACATACTTACAATTTACATAAGTAACAATAATGTTTACAGTTATAAGTACACAATTATTCTGTTTGAAATATACAATATTGCCTTCTACCTCGTTCAATCATAGTTACAGGTAGAAGCGAGTTCATATATTGATGCTTGAATGGTTTACCTCTTGTTTCTCAAATCCTGGTGTGGTTTCTTGGCTTGCTCGCTGAGTTGCGGCGAGTCTGCCATCTGGCGCTCCAGCCAACCGAACAGGGCACGCAGCAGTGACGGTAAACAGTGCTCCGCGACCGTGCCAAAAGCACACAAGATCTGGTCCAGTTGAGGATCCTCACCGCGCTGCAGTGTTTTATTCAATGGTTTCTCCTGCAACAAAAGAAAACATGGTATACAATACATAGGTTTTTATAAGTTGAATCTAGAAATAAATGTTAACAATTAAAGTATAATAATGTAATAAATGTAGCTTTACAATAATATGTAATATACACTTCATAATACAATAAACATAAATAATTAGTAACTATTGTAGTTTACACTTTGGTAAGGTTACCTCTAAGAGTATGCTTTCAAACTTTGTGTCTTTTTATATTTCTTTTCGGTTCAATACACTGTTATTATAATATTATTTGTTGTGTTATTATAATATTAATATATACCTCTCTGTTTGTATTTGTTTCAACAAATACAAACAAAGAGGTATATGATATTAGACACAGTTAAAAATAGAGTAATATAATAAAAAAAACACTATGCTTTGGACAAACTCAAATATAATCGTACAACATTTACTGTTTTTCAATTAACCTTTAAAACTTTTAAACTCGAAATATCAGTGAACAATAATCCAATTTCGACTAATTGTCGTTATTGTTCGTAAATATCTAGAGTTACAATTTAAAATGCATAAGGAAAACAAGTAAATATCTAGGTAGTTATCAAATACAATTACCGGACGCAATGTAAATTAATTAAAATGTACATACGAGTGGTTCTGCCATAACTGCTTCCATTTTCCTTTCTGCCTGTACCGTGAACTCGGTGAATAGGAGTCTCATGACGAACTCCCCCGGCCTCAGGTCGGTGTCCGAAGGTGGCATCACGGGGCCTTTGTGCGCACCCCATGGTAGCATCGAGCCTGTGAAGCACCCTTGTCTTGTGTCACCACAATTAACAATACGTAGCAGGAAAACAAATTTAATTTACAATAACAATAAGGAAGGTCGGATGTCAAAATAATGAGATCGCAAACACTGCAATATTCAGTAATTATGCCAGGTATATATAAACATGTATGACACTTTTATAGGTATGTACAATTGTAATTGAATCCTTATTAAAAGTATATTTAAAGAACGTTATTACAACACAACATGTCAACCAGAATACACGTAGCAAAATACGAATGATCAGAGCATTAAGTCAGCCTTTTGTGCCGTATTTTATTGGCCAATAAAGCTTATAAAAGGATTGTATAGACATATGTTATGTCTCAGTATATAGTAATTTCACAGCCATATCTCCTGAATCAAACCCGAATATGGTAATAGATGTAAGTGAACCATCATACAGCCCTCTACTTCAGCATGTCTGCTGTTGGGCATATATTTGTCCAATTTACTTATACTTTATGCATTAGTGGTATCAATGCTATAATCACAAAAATAATCAATTGGAAAATCTTTATAATATAGACCTTTTCAAATCAGTTAAATTATTTATGTGTACATAGATTAATGTGTACAAATTGTAACATAATATTTGTGTAACATAAATATAACATACAGTGTATTCTATATTGTATACTGAGTTTGATTTTATAAAGAGCCATGTGCTGGAATAAAGGATAAGAGTTCTCCAGAATGGCAGCATATGGGTGTTATCGTACATGCATATAGGCGGCTGTTACACCTTAAGTGGGTTACTATTAGTTTGTTTGCCAATGCAACTAAATAAAGAAAGTGTTTTTTTTAAATATTTCTACATACATATTTAAAACACATACCTCTAGTGGAGACAAATGAGGACACAGTGCTCCCAACATTTCTCCAGTCATCACTCACAACAGTTATGGGTTTGTCATGGGTAGTGTGAGCCATTTCGTTTATGGTATCAGTCGCCTGTACCGGAGATGGCTCTATATTGTCATGGCGTACCACTTCTGATAACACACTGCCTTCCGACTCTGCTTCACTTGAGACCATCGATGAAGGAGCCTCTTCAATACCTGATTGGACAGTATTAAAATTATGAATCCAGAAGAGTGTCTGTCTGACACTATTTCTTAAGCAAACAGATGAGCTGATCATAGTAAAATCTCATGTCACATCTCTAAGCTCCAAAAAATATTAAAACAGACATGTATTAGAAGAATATTGATAAAATATTCAAAAATTAAAATAAGATAATACATGTAAAAGTTATTTAAAGAACTCTCGAAACTCAAATTGACCATTACTACATTTGTAGCTCTTATTAATATTATAGATGTGGAAGTTTGCCAGTGTGGATGAATGGATGAATGTTTGTTACTCTTTAAAAACCACTGAATGGATTTTAATGAAATTTTAAAATAATACAATACAGCTTTTACATCAGAATAACACATAGGCTACATTTCACAGAGATGTAACGACAGGAACAGCTAGTGACACAACATTTATATACACATGTTTACAAATGTAATGTATATTTAATTTATAATTAATATTATATATTATTTTAGTTCCAAATGACTTAATAGAAGCTGGTGATGGAAGTGGTTCTTTTTCTTAATCGTATACATCTATGCCTGAGAAAGTCGAGCTAAAATCAAGTTGCAAATGGGATACAACACATAATGATTAGGTACTTTATATGTGTTATGTTCTTCCTTCAGTATTATTATATATGTACTATATATTAATTGTACATATAATATCAACTATATACATATAGTTTTTTTTTAATATATAATTTATGTCACATTCCAATTGAATTTTCCTACTACTAAGCTGCAAAAATAGATTTGGTTGACAGGTTTGGTAAGACTCCTGATCAACAAAGTATAAAATAATTCATATATACCTGATGCATCTTCCGGATGTCCATCTGAGGGCAATGTGCTTATCGAGTCTGATTCTTCTGCCATCATTTCTTAATATGTAATCACAGTACTTTTATATTATTAATGTATATACTGTAAAAAAAAATAATTTTGCAAATCTTACAGTGTAAAGCTCAAAGCATGCTTACATTATCCTATTAAATACAATATAGCTATCAACAAGGCAAACAAATTGAGGTAAACTTTGTACAAAGTCATATGCATGGATTTCTACCTCAGTCATTTCAGACACCAAGCAGCTCGCTAAGAAGTATTTAGAAAGATAAGATTAGGCTTACTTTCTTTATAGAAATGCTTGAGATGTGTCATGGTGTCAACAATCACAATGTGATATTTGTAGTTCTGTTTATATATGTTAAACAACAGTCACTATTTACCATCAGGTGGACCATGAACTTGTTTACCAAACCATTCATATAAAAGAAATGATATTTATTACTGATATTTAAATGGTGTTACCATTAACAAAATATAAAATGTGAAATTTTAAAATTACTTACATACTTCTATCTATATGAGTGTATAAAATCCAAAGCAGATTCATTGTTCCTAAAACAAGATAAACACAATGTTAAAAAATATGTAATAACATACATAACTTGGACTATTTAAATTGTTCATTGAATTACTAGTTCTTCATAAGATGTAATAGTGGCAATAATGGAATGGAAAAGTAATAATAAACAATTAAATTCGCAATAAGCATGTCTACATATCTTTATTATCAGTATACAGCTATAGCTTAGCAATGAGCAATGGCTGCTATGTGAATGGCAATGCTCTATTTATTGTACAGAAATTTGAGTAAAGAAAATATAATACATTATCACATTCGCATAGCATTATATACTGATATAAAAATATGTCTATGTATGTTTAATATCAACAGCATAGGCAAAATTGATGTTTTTATCCAACAAGTTGGTAATTGATCTGCTTATAGCAGTATACCAAATTAGACAGTTTCAAAGTAACACTAAGGTTGTATTTGCAATACAAACGCGAGCTTGTGAAACCGGGACATCTGACAATGGATTCTACAATGTTATGCCCAGTTGATTATCATGCATATAAAACGGCAGCTAACGATCTGCACAACGCGTGGGGACGCAAGCATCTCTCAATAACACAAAACTATGTTCATTAAAACACCAATTAATCACCAAAACACTGAACTTCGTGTATCAACTGCACTATATTGAATGCGTAGGTACAATCGGATGTGTATGTATAAACATTGAGTGCTCTTGGTTCCAACAAGTGATATACTGCGGTTACAATTCAACAGATAAGATATAACCCTTCACTTTCAATTTTATCGTATAACAGCCCACAAAGTTAGGCACAAAATGTATTCCAATAAGTTTTTATTAGTAATTCTTCATTTGAGTTTCTTTTAAGCGGCGTAAAGGCAGATTTTTTATTTGTATTAATTAAATAAACGTTATTTCATTGCTAAACTATAGCAATTTATACCTTTGTATTCTAAATGTAGATGTTACGGAGATCACATTAGAATTAGCTGCATTTTTCTGTATATAAAATTATGCTTTTGCTTATTTTATGACTAATATTAGATGAAAACAAAAGGTACAAAAATCTCCAGTCACGCAGCTTGTCGCGAATTAACTTTTTGACATTTCTTCCCATTCATTAGTAACGTATTAAGCGCCTAAATATAGAAGGCGCCATAATAAGAACTGACGTCAGTCACACTGACAACATTACAAATTGATCGATTTATTTTCTGTTCTTGTACTGACTCTAGCGTTTGCGTTCCGTTCCACCGTTGCATGAGCTCGCTCAAAAGTACCGTAAGGCAAATAAAAATAATTATGTTTCTGATGACTGATTTGACGGTCCACAATTTGCAAAACAAATAGGTACAGAAAAAACAGTAGAAAAAAATTGATGCATAACTAATGACTTTTTTTAATATTTAACTCTCATTTCATTTAGAAAATTGTGATTTTTGTAATTAATAATATTTTATGTATGTATGATGGACTTGTAATAAATATTTTTTTATGTATGGCGTAACCTGGTTATTCGCTATTTCAATAGAAAATACCCCTTTGAAGATTATTTATAGAAATTAAAGTTAGCGTATTTCCATCCTCGTAATACTATCTAGCTTATAATCTAAAAAAAAGATCTGTTCAGTCAGTAGGAGGTAGCAAACATTTGTCTGTTTACTACCTCCTAATGACTGAACAGAACATCTGTAACTCTACATTAAGGATATGGGAATTTATATATTGATTTGTAAGATTGCAGTTTACTGTAAATTGAGAGTAACATTTAACGGAGAATTTGATAAATAATCATATAGCTATTGCTATATGATTATTTATAAAATTGCCCGGTACAGTAAATTAGTTTTTAAGTTATTACATTAGAATTGAGAGTCGTGTGTCATGAATGGATTAGTGGTTAGAGTGTAGGTCTGTTGATACATCAGTGGGTTGGTCGATGCAGTAGTAGTGCAGTGTGTCAATTGGAGTCGTGGTGACAGGCAGCGTGGTCGTACCAGGTGAGTAATTGATCTCATTGCTAGACAGGAAGCTGCCCATATGGTGGACGTCTATTGACCTGTGTAGGGCTGCAACGTTATCTATACAAATAAATAAAATTGAAGGGTCTGTTTGTAATTTCGACACTAATGGTGTTTACATTTCTGAAATGGATGGACCGATTTTGACGGGACTCTCACTCGTAGATTGCTTGTAAGAAGTAAATTAGATTTCTTTTATTACAGAAATTTTATTTATTTTAATTAAGAGAAGTAAAATCCCCGCGGTCGATATGCCATTTATAATAGCTAGTTAATACTATGTTGAAGTAAACCGGAAACCTGTTTGGGTTACATTTTAAGCGGTTAGGTTTTATTCCATTAGTATGTTTTGTTGACAATGATCATATTCATTAAAATATTTAAAACGAATTTGAAATATATTAAACGCGTAAGTATTTGGATGTTTGTCATTCAAACGCATGAACAAATTAAAATTAAAGATACAGCGATTATTTCTTTTCATATTTCAACCGAGACTTGAGTTTTGGCGTAAGTTGGTATACCTACTTAATAAGCGTTTCTATGCATTACAGTTACTTCGATTTTACTTTGGAAACCCCTGACTGTTCCAGTTCTTGGAACGAATAGTTCGTATAGGTCAATATCTATAGTGCAGGTTATATTGGCTGTTATAGAATATATTACTGTAATGAGGACAACACTCCCCATTGTAAACAGCCCTCTCCCCACGTATTAGGAAGATTGGATATCTTTATTTGTCTATATTTTGTTCGGCCTTTTGACGACCTCAATGGTCTAGAGGTTTAGCACACCGCTTTACTTCCGCTGGTGACGGGTACGATTCATAGCACACCACAAACATCACATTTCAGTGTGATTGTTTGTATCGGACTGGGTATTTTCTATGTATATTATGTATGCATTTACAGTTTTCTAGTACCTTTAACACAAACTCTGTTTATTTTGGAACTAGTGGTGAATTTGGTATATGTGTATATATGGTATATGTGAGCCTATTGCAATCTTTTTAATTATTTCAAAGATACAATATTCTATTTGGATATATACTGTAAGCGTATCGATCAAATCAAATCCAAATATTCATGTAGGTCTATTTACAGACTCTTATGATATGTCAAATCGACCGTCAGTTCGGAAACTTTCGAATAGAGAAGAACTGACAAGAAACTCAGGTCATATTCTTTTCAAATATGTTTACAATAACACACATACAGATTTAGATAAGTATACCTATATGTATACATATTTCTGTCAAGGTGTATGTCTTTATATTTTGATTGTCGCTCAGGAGTATTCGGGATTCCTTGCTGTTATTTATAAAACAATTTGACTTTATTTCTTGTTTAAAGCAAATATGTCGATGAAAAGCGCATTAGAGCCGAAACCGGGCAGGAGCACAGATGTCGAGTCCACGGAGAGAACACCCCTCGTCAGCAAAAATGTAAGTTAGCTACAGGAGTCATTATTAAATGATCACGTTTTATTGGTTACTATTAAATTGTAATGTGTGACAGTGTGCTACTTTTCTACTGCATTCCCTTGGATTAATTGATAGACGACATCGGTGGTCTAGCGGTTTAGCTTTTTTTTCTCATGGGCCAGGAGGAAGCAATGTCTCGCTAACTTCAATATTGACTACACTCTTTGGAAATTCCATATATAATTTGTAATTATACTAATGTGTATATAGTTCTTTATGTTCTTTCTATGTCAGAGTCACCGTGTAATCATATATTAAGGTTATTGCACACTATCAAATTTCATACGACGACTAATGGAACGTGGATTGATTGGATAATATAATACTGAAATAATATCTGCAGCTGTAGACATATATGTATACATGTAACTATGTATATTTCACTTATGTTACAATGTTAGAGTAATGACTGTGATGTGCTTCGTTACATATGTATATGGCACATATTGACACCATCAACTATGACCTGATAATTTTCAATAATCTGTTATTATTGCAGTATTTAGTCACATTCTTCAAAATAAATATAAGAAATGAACGGAACAGTTTTGCAGCTTTAGTTATTTATTGGTAAAAAGATGCAATATCATCTTAAAATAATTAAAGTGAAATAGTTTGAATGACAAGTTAATGATTTAACTATCTATTGGTTTGTAGATAATTGAATCCATTATTCTGATATAAAATAATATTTTGGAATACTATTTAATGGTAGTAGATTTAATTAACATGAAATATTTCTTAAATTACGAATGAATATAATATGAACCATTTAATATATTATAATATACATCATAAATACATCCGGACAAATCACATATTTATTTTTATGAAATAAGCTATTTAAATTGTATAAAGTTCTATTAAATTTTGATTTCATAAAAGGTTACTTATGATCTATTCAATTTACTAGAGCGGTGGTGGTGATGATGGAAATCCTAGAAGTGATGACTATAGCCGTGGTGGATTATCAGTCAAGCAGACCGTATTCCTGATCGCCGGCGAGATGGCAGGCAGTGGTATTTTGGCGCTACCCAGAGCTCTTGTCAGAACGGGTACCTTTTTCAACGGTTTTTAATGTGTGATTATGCAATCGTAATACAAATTACGAGAATGATATTTTTATTCAATTGGAATGAGCCGTGGTAATTTCGATCCCCGTTTGAATCAGATCAGATCAGAGGCGAAAAGATATGCACGCAAACGCTAATAGGGTACAAGTAAAGGTTAAAAGAGATATAATAACTTGACTAAGTACTCACGCCCGTTGCTGACATGAATGAGTGCTAAAAATTCAATTATTAACCTTTTCAAAAGAATACAAATTAATGACATTCGCATTTATGGCAGCGGAAAATAACTAGTAGATAATATTCTAATCAAAATATTATAGCAATTACTAATTTAAGCAATTACTAATTACTATTGTACTATTGTGATCTACGATACCCTAGTGGGGTCTAATGATACCCTGGTGGTGTGAAGTGGTGAAACTATGTATTATACTACTTCATCACACGGAAAAATCATATAAAATACCTAAAAATTTATTGATCTACTTACGAGTGCGTATAACGTAGCGGACAAACAACTATTTCCATATTTTATATATCCGTTTCGATATATTATGAATGAAAGAAAAAGAAAGCCTGTTAGTTGCATACATTATTACCTAGAAGATACAATTTCTTAACACACCTAACAAGTTCATTATGTTAATAGATTTAGGTACCGGGCGGTGAGTTGATTGACATACATTTTTGTCGCATATAAGCATATAATTATAAATATAGAAATAACTTACAGATAGCAAAACTTAATATTTTCTTATACAAACAGATTTTTATATTGCTTCAACTTTAAACTTACAAACATAAAGGAACGAAAGCAACTTTGACTCAACTCTTCTATTAAAAAGTATGGAAGAAGTTAAAAAATCATTAAAAACCAGTTCTGAAAACAAAAATAGTCGAAAAGAGTGGCAAACTTTTTACATCCACATTAAGAAAATTCAATGTAAGAAAGTATAGTTTTATAATGCACTGAACATAAACAAAAAGATTTGTCGTGTAGTTCTCTAAATTCCAAGTGCTACAGTTTGATGGAAACACACCAATACTTTATTTTAGATTTTTGTAGAATCTGTACTTTACGCAAGGCTCTGTACGAATCCTTTTAGGATGACAATTACAATTTAATTTTTTATGATCAGGATGGCTGGGAGTACCGATTATAGTCGTAATGTGTGCAGCGGCAGCGTTCAGCGGCAAGCGTTTAGGTGATTGCTGGTCCATCCTCGAGGAACGCGATCCAAAATTAAGGACCAGGAAAAGGAACCCTTACGCTATTATTGCTGAAAAGTCTTTGGGGACGACGTGGAGGTAAATCAGCTAATTATGATGATTACCTAGATAATAATCATATATCGTTTATTCCATTCATATGCTATATAAAAACTTCTACATTCACCACAACATGGGAAGAACTTATATGCGCGACATCATTTTAATAACACACCTTATTGATGTACATTGTTTACCTTTTAATAATAAACTAATTAAACTAAATACAATTTTGTTATTAAAGTCAAATCATAGAAACTAATATCAACTTTTCTCTTCTGTAAACAAGTTTGTTTTGTATCTGTAACTCTACAAGTAACTGAAAAATTCGTTATTTTTTTAGTTATAGGTAAATCAACAGTTTAGACAAATTGATACTAATATTTATAAATTTTAGACAATTTTTCGAGATTTTATTTAAAATAACGAATTTAAGTTTGTTTTATACGTCTTGCAGCGTGGTGGTATCGATGGCAATGACGACGACACTGTTCGGCGTTGCTGTGGTGAACCTACTGCTGGCTGCGCAGATAGTGGAGCAGGTGTTCCTATCGCTGGTGCCGAATGTGTCATACTGTGCGTGGTACCTGATTGTGGCGGGGGCCATGACGCCGCTGATGCTACACGGCACACCCAAGGACATTTCGTAAGTTTTATTACGTCTATAGTACCCTAGGTAGACTAGCGATTTAGCACACTGCCTTATATTCAATGGTCGCGGGTTCGATTTCTGGCACGGTATTTGTATTTTTGTATTCATGAATACGATTGTTTGTATTGATTTGGGTGTTTTCTATGTATATAATAAAACCTATGTATTTATATCTGTAAAGGACCCATAAGCTCCGCCCTGCTTGGGACCAGGTGGCGCTGTGTGAATTGTCCGGAGATATTATTATTATTATGAAATAATTTCACAGCTACGTTGGGGTAATCGCGTTTGGTGCGACTGTGGTCGCTTGCATCCTGTACTTCATCCAGATGATGAATGACATCAGGCCCTTCGTGTTCCGCTACGGGATCCACGGCTTCCAGGACTTCTTCCTAGCATTTGGCACGATCATGTTCGCGTTCGGCGGCGCCTCAACCTTCCCCACCATTCAGAATGACATGGCTGATAAGAGGAAGTTCAATAAGAGCCTGAATTACAGTTTTCTTGGTAAGAAAATGTATAAATAAGTTCTTTTCACTTTGTCTCTTCCTTATTGGAGATCTGTGCAGTATGTCTTTATATTCCACCGATCAAATTTATATGTATATGATTTTCAGTCCATATTTTCTTCGGTCGTACTATAAATTCACCACAGCTAGGCATGTTAAATGCATTAATTGTATGCACGAGAATGACTAAACTTACAATGTTTTTTTGTCTTATAAAAGATAAAAAGCATAGTAAATACATTAATTCCCGCATCAGTTATAAATCTGAGTTCACAAAATCTGAGTTTTGAAAACAATATAGGCTGTATCATGTTACAAATAAACCAACGGATTTACAGTTGATAGAATAAAATTTCAAATTTTATTCGTAATATTATGAAACTAGCTATCCGCTCGCGGCTTCGCCTGCGTGGACAGAATATATGGATTATCTCGCGTTTAAAGATCCGTGTTCTGTAGTGGGACGTTATATATCTTAAACCCTTCTTGAGTCACTCTATCTATTCTGTCTTTTAAACATAAACATCAAAATGCGCGTAGTTTTTTAAGATCAAGAGGTACATAGGTTCTTTACATAGAAGATATTTTAACCGGAAACTAAAGCCGTTTAAATGGTATTGGCAGATCAGTTGGGATCATCGGTATTCTTGGTATATAAGCTAGTTGCCCGGCTGCCGTGGCCCGTGACGGTAGTAATGTTTGCTACAATTTAATTGTCGTTCAATTCCTTAGTAAGTCTCTGATGAGTTTACATTTCTCAAAATCATGATTGCATCATGCTTTTGAGAAATTCCGATTTTTGACGCCAAATCGTATGGTAGAGGTCCAGAAGGGTTTAGTAAAAATTCCTGTGGATAATGAACTGCGTTTTCGATATTAGTCAAGGTGTCGATTGATATATATTTTTTTATTTATCCAGCACCTTTTTGTATAATCAGATTATTTCGTTGACAGTATCATTCTTAGGTAACACTATTGCCCTAGATGACAACCAATGAAAGCCTTTTTCATGCAAATTCTGGGTGTCAGGATATTCAGTATCTATCAAAATTTCTAAATTATGGACGACTTGGCCTAGGGACTCATCCAGAAGGATATCACAATGTCTGTTTAAATTCGAGTGGGAAAAATTCCTTCCCCAAGTTTGAGCCATTGTTGTGAGAAATCACTGTCTGTGATTCCATGAAGATGAGGTCTCATATTCTACCGTAATTTTAAACTTTCAATTAAAGTTCATAAGAAAGACGATGTTAATAACAGGGAGAGTTAGTTAGAAATCTCCAGCAAATACAAAGGTAATCCCGCCCATGAGAGCAGAGGTGTTTCTAAGATCTTTTAAGGTTCTATCCAAAACATCTATGGCTCATGGTGCATTCATCCCACATAATAACTGAGGCATTTTGTAATAATTTATCAAATCAACATGTAGATTGTTGTTCAAGATTTACGGATAGCGAAAGTTTAAAAGTAGAACGAGCAGTTTTTCCATCCAATGAACAATTCCTGACGATGCAACTGCTATCACTATCTTCCCCGATTGTATTATCTTAGCAAGTATCCCTACCCCTACCTGTGTACCCATACCCCAGTGACGCCCCTACATCGCATTAGGTTTATAGCTAACAGAGGAGTAGGTTTTTTTTCTAAGACTTGCATTGTTAAATACGTGGTATCTTTCGAATGGAATGTCCGTATTGAATAATTCAAAAAGTTATATACAGGTATTGAAGCAGTCGATAATATGAGGTAATTAATTTTGATAAGGATTAATACCAAGATGCAAACTAAAGATTCTTTTCTAGCGGCAGCACATCAATTAAATTTTTAATAAAAAAAACACTTATTGTGACATAACTATAATACATAGATATATGCCGTCGCGACACTTTTTATAGATAATGCTGTGTTCTGCAATGTTGTAGTACATCATTTTATTCTATCATCAATAGTTATCGCAGCGCATGCGGTGTTAGGTATTTTTTGTATAATTTTTTCACACCTTGGGTTACATTATTGGAGATTTCGTAAGTATCCCTAATATTTTTGTAAATATAATATAGCCTATGACACTCAGGGATAGTATAGCTTCCTAATGATGAAAGAATTTTTTAAATAGGTCCAGTAGTTTCGGAGCCTATTCAATATAAACAATCAAACTTTTCAATTAAAACAATCAAACAATGATTAAAGGCAATAAAATGGGTATATCAGTGTAGTATGTCGTAACCGGAGTAATTAGTCTACCTAATAATACTATAATCTTGTACTTGAAACAAGACTATTTTAGGATTTACGTCTCTTGGATATTTTTTATGTATGAATTATTTAATTTAATAAAAGTCATACATTTTAAACTGTACAGATATATGTAGACGGGAGACGATGTGTAATGAGTTGCACCCTTTAATATTGTAATTGTGATGTTTAACGTTGATTGTGGCTTTTTTTTCAACCTGGAAATGCAACCTGATGGAAATTAAGCATACAGCCCATCTGATGGTAAATGGTTATCGTAACCTATGGACGCCTGAAAGAACAAGGGTGTCACGTACGCGTAGTCAACCCTTAAGAAACATCAATATACATTTACATAAAACCCCCACGCTGTCTTTAAAGAAAATCTTCCTGTAACTACAAATTGAAATACTAATTTATATTTCAGTAATCCTCGGCATATATCTACCAATTGCCATAGCTGGTTATGCTGTGTATGGCGAGTCAGCAGGATCAAATATATCTGCGTCCCTCTCTACCACGCCGCTCACGCTGGTTGGTAATATTCTCATGGCCTTGCACCTCGTCACCGCTTTTGTGATCATCATCAATCCTGTCTGCCAAGAAATGGAGCAGCTGTACAATATACCAAGAGGTATGAATAGATATTGAAACAAACAGTAGGAAATAGTTTGTTCTAATAATCATTTAAAGAATAATACACAAAATTATTAGAAACGTTTTATTTATACTACCTAATGTTTGGATTATATTTTATGAAATAGAAGTAAAAATAAAATAGAAATTCAAGAAAACTTTATACAAATAAACGTAATAGGAGCACTTTTGAATATTATTATTATTCTATCGTCCACTAGGATAGCAGGCTTATTATAAGAATAAACAAGTACTTGCGTGTGATACTATTTTGAATTCAAACTGGCTTCATACGATACTTATTACAAATTTATCTTAAAATTAATTAAAAATTATTTACTTGTGTAGGTTATTTTAGCCACTTAAGCAAGTATTTATTTCTTAATACTATTTAAAACTAATCCAATTCAGTAATAATGATTAGTAGCTATAGTAGTGCGGTAATTTTACCTTAGTCGCGTCAAGCTATAATGCAAAAATATAATTGAAAATTTTATAAATTTAATAAAGGCAACAACATTTGTACTTCCATCAAGTTATGTAGTTCATTTTTCGAAGTATTCCATTGTAAGCCAGTAAGTAAGTAAGCCATTGTTCATCTTGTATACTTAATTCAGATGTACTAAGTGACTTTATTAATAGTAGAAACTGATAATTTATCACTGCTGTTGGTTAAGCTGTGGAAGTTGGGAATACCATGCGGATTGCTGGTACATCCTCTACATGGAATGATACCACTTGCTCAGCTGCACGCTTGCCTTGCCTTTACGTGTTACGTGACCTAGTTCATTCCATCGTGTAGCATAGAGTGCCATAGAGCACATTATTAAATATTACTTCTATCTGGTAAGTCCAATTCTTGGATATACAGTTCATCAATAAATATGATCATTATGTGAAAATAAGAATAATGCCAAAAATAATGTACTCCATAGTTATCTTGTAGTGTCATATAGTTCCCCCTATTCTCAAGTATCCTCTGTTGTCTATTTAATGTGTTCTTCCTCGATTTAGTTTAAGAAGAATAAGAATTGTATTTTTTACTTTTACAAAATAAAGCCCTTGTCATCTAGATTTACATAAAGTCAAAGAAAGAAATTTTCACAAAATATGTTGAAAAACATCATTATTTACATAAATACTGTGATATTTCAACAGTAAGTACGGCACTTCAATAGTTTTTACACAAGTTCACGTGGTAAATACATAGCTGCCATTCCTTATTGGTCATACTTTGGCGTAAATAACTATGTTTATTGCGTGAACTAAATAGTAGAAGAAGTTACATTATACATATTATTTGATTAAACTGAAAAGTAAACTAAAAAACAACAAACTATAAATAATAAACATAGGTGCTGAATAATTGAAATTCAGGTAGCAATACGACATTCATATAAAGTGCATCACAGTGACATATCGATTAAAAAATAATAACTGACGCATATAACTACTGACGTTTCGCTGTCTCTACCTGTAGACACGCTTGTCTGCTCCACTCAATGTATCTAGTAGGCATGCGCGTTCCCGGGCTCCAGTAACCCGTATTGAAAATTGGGGCTCTAAGTCGAGTGTTACAAACTTAGTTCTACCTAATTGACATGGCAGATTCAATGGGATGGCGCATCGTGATACGTGTTTCGGTGATGCTTGCGATCCTGTTCATTGGTGAAAGCGTCCCTCGGTTCTACACCATCCTGGCGCTGGTCGGGGGCACCACTATCGTGCTCCTCACTTTCGTACTACCTTCTTACTGCTATCTTAGCTTAATGGAACAACCACTGGAGGGGGGACAGACGCCTGTGTGAGTATATTAGTCTTAAATACTAATTTCAGTTTATTTATATATTTCTTACTATGTTTTGTGATTGGGTTAGGTATAATTGTTATGTGTTTAAAATTTTATATCAAAGAAAAAACAGTCTAACATACACTGTCGCTTTTAGAATATTAGAGTAACTCCACTAAATAGCTCTATTATACAGAGTTACGTTTAATATTAAGCCTTGTATTGAATATAACTATTAAATGCCTTAATTATTATATAGTATAACCATGAGTAAATGAGATTAAGAATTACGGATATTATTGAAAATAATAATAAGTAGTAATTGGATTACATTACATTGATTTAAAAAAATACGATAGATAGAAGAATAAAAATTGTTTTATAATTATTTATAATATGGGCTCTCAGTAGAAATACTCTGTACTAAATATTAATCACATAAAAACAGAAAACGAAACCAAAATCACTGCACTGATTTGAAAAATTAATTCAGTTTTAAGGTAATCCGGAGTGATACAGATTATAGTAAAATCACACTGCGCCATTTAGTCCCAAATTAAGCTATTTATGTTATGGGTATTAAACAATTGATATAAATACTTATTTATTGAAAACAACCAGAAAAATACAAAAAAATGTATTCATTAATTGCAATGTTTGCATCGAGCGAGGAATGGAACTCGCTAAATCTCTAATATCCGAAAAGTCGAGGTCGAGTATATATGTTCTCTTGTATATATGCTGATATAGGTTTTTTCCAGCGAGATGCCGGGCTGGATGAAGATGGTATGCTGGGAATTGGTCACCTTCGGTTTGGTCGGAGGCATCGCGGCTGCCTACAGCGCCATCAGCGCTATATTCAGCACAGCACAAGCTACGCCCTGCTACTTACGTTAATAACTAAATACAATTTTTCGACTATAGGTTCTAACAATTTGTAAGTTAAGAAATAGCTAGTTAGGTAGGTACTCATTGTTGACTATGTCCTTGCGCTTCCTCTAGTAGAGTTTTTAGTTGTTCCTGCGAGTTTTGAGGGCCCCTTGCATTCGCTTCCATTTCGTTTGGTCAAACTATTAAGGATAGATGCTTTAGATTTTTTTAAAAAGATGTCTTTAATAACACTTACTCTGTTTTATTATCCCTTGTATTGAATATTCCATATATTACAATGTTTAATTTACGCACTGTTTGAACTAGTTTCTTTATAATCTGTGGTATCTTTAATTTAAACGATTCGTTAGATAAGCGTTGAGTCTTTTATACTTACTGAAATGGAAATTTTAATTTAGCATAAACTTTTCTATGCACTTTGAGAATAGAGTAGGTATTAATTTGGGCTCATTACATTAAATACGAGAACAAAATATTTAATATTTGGCTAATGTTATTACTGTACTTAATTTTCTAATCGATAACATACAGATTAGTTTATAAATATTCCATAATTATCGATAAATAATATCATTAATACACTATTCTAAACTACCTAACTTTCTAAAATAATTTATTTATTTTATATTTGTAATTAAGTTATTTGTAAGACCATTTGCCGTTTCCTTGTAGTTGAGCTGATTTCTCATTGTAGTTGTATGTGACAAAAAGTTTCTTGTAAAACGCTCGATGCAGTAACGGTATTCAGGCAATATTTTACAGTGTTCTACGGATTATAGAAACGCAATAATTTATTAGAACAATGTATTTTATTTAGTTACTGTTATTTTTAAATAACAGTTTTCAATTCTACAGCAATAAATCATACTCTGATTTATTTGAGCAAGCTAAATTTTCATACTAATCTTATAAAAACAGCCCATGTGTTGAGTAACAGTTAAGTAAAATAATCGATTTTGACGTATTATGGGTAAAAATGGTAACTTAACATCAGGAAGTTGAAATTTTGCTTGAATATTGTTCAATTCTTAAAAATCATGTTCTTGTAAACTCCAAATTATCTTATAGCGTAAAAGAATTGTTCTATATAGTCAATAAGGTTTGTTAGAGACTGTTAATAACAGCTGTAATTCGTGATATACATTAGTATATAATAATATGTAACGCAAACAGTACTAGAAATTAAATACTAATTTATAAAAATGTGTAAGCATTATGACTTCATTTTTAAATTCCTTATTAGCCAACTTTGACATTTTTTACATTTAATGATATATTTTACTTTTTAGTTGAATCTGTTAAAATATCCTGATCTCAAAAACAATATGATTTTAATGATAAAATAAATCACGGATAGGTTGGTTACCTAAGCTCTCAATATCAATATTTTAAATAACTTCCAATGTAAGTACGTAATTATATTCGGTATAGAATATATATATATATAGTTATATACAATAATATATAACAAGGATTGGGAGTACATTAAAATTAGTATGTCTGCTGAAGTAGTTTTTGTAGTAAAAATAATGGGCCACAGATGCATAATATTGCACGGCGCGCAGTCGCAGTAGGATGACGAACACGTCATAGCTGTATGATGATGCTGTGACGTTAATACAAGTCTCTGTACTACTCATACTAAATATTAACACTTGCATTTCTATTTTTATGAACAAACCTTAAACCGTTTTATATGAAATAAAATTACGGTGCAGGTATTCTTCAGTATTCATTTTATCTCCATTCAGAGACCTTGGGTCGTCGTCATCTTCCCTCAAGCAAGCGCGACAGAAACATTTTCAAACGAAATTTTGCCATCAATATTCAAGTTATGCCCTACTTGGCTCAAACTCTATTGTTACTGTAAATATAAATGTTGTTTCGTTATTACGAAAGATTATTATAATTTCAATATCTTGCACTTACTCAATAATTTTGATATTTCTATATTGTTCTTGATTATTCATACGAATGGGCTAGGATAGGTACTTCTTTTTATAGAAAATCGACTTTTTCAGTTACGTGTAATATTAAAACAAACAAAAGAAAAACTGACAAGTTTGATCTGAAACGATGTTGTTGTTTCATTCTCCTACGGGCACAATTTCATCTAGTTTAAGAAGTTATTGCAGGAAATAAGTTTTATACAGAGATGAGTTCTCCGAGTTGTGTTAGTCCTCGGTCGCGACGTACTATCAACTTGTTTGTCATTCCAGTAACATAAAAAAATATGTATTAACTTTGACCTACTAAGTAAACAATATGTTGAGCTGTCAGATTGTGGCACAGCTATCTGATTACTACTTGATGTGGTCGCTAACGTTACGTCAGCCGCCAGCCGACCCCCAGCGGCTACTGTTTTATAGATAAGCTATCAAGCAACGGTAAACAATAACAGTTAATTATTCCATTCGTTGGGACAATATCAGTGCAGACTGTAACTATACAGTTATTATTGAGACACCATATCCGCGAGTGAGAAAAGCAAGAGCTGTCCCATCCGATGTATGAATATTTACTTAATATTTGAGACGAACTTCTTAGAATTCCATGAATTTAACAAGCCGCAAGAGAGAAATAGAAACTCCGAGCAGTTCCCAGGACTTGTGACCCTGGTGTAGGTTTAAGGGCCATTAAGACTCACCTTCACCGTTCCTGTTTCACACCCAACCAAATATTTCTCTTGTAACTTTAGATACACATTCTAGTATAGTATCCACTATAGTTCTAGACATGCCAATATATTTTAAAATATGGTAGAGAGATTGCGCTATAATACGTGTCGCTCCCACTTCGATCGCCTATAAATTAACCATAAACCTATTATTAGTTAATTCGTTTAGTAGTTCTTAATGTTTATTTGTTTTTATTGCATGATCTTTAAGTACATTTGTTTCCCATGATACAGTGAGCTCTACCAGTATTAAGCGAAGATGACTTACATAAAAAAACTTTGAGGTAGACATTAAATCGACGTCTGCGTGGGTACTTGAGTCTTACCTATTTCAGGTGCCAAACAGGTTGCTTTGTAAGCTATATTTCGGTTGAATTGAGATAAGGTGGTGAAATTATAGAATAACAAGCATGACATTTTAGTCCTCGGGAATGGTAACGCAAGACCGGAATCACGTGCGAGACATGATAACGTGATGTCCGCAGTGCTATCATGTATATAGACGACTGTTATCATTTACGTGAGGTGATCCGTCTGCTTATTTGACATGTGTTTGGTACATGAAAAAAAATGATACTGTCACATCGATATATGACAGGATATATATAGCCTGTCACATCACCACACAAGGTGGTGAAAGGACATCTTTAAAAAGGAAAGTAAGTTACGATATAAATATTTCTGCAAAATAATACAATGCGTTGATATAAACAAAGTAATGGCAAATGTTTAAATAGAGAAATTGTATAGTGATTATAATTTCTCTAACTTTTTTTAGTTAAATAATAATAATAACCATGGATAATTCACACAGCCTCATATTGTCTTAACCTAAGCAGATGTTGTGTTGTGGGTACCGGAAAAATAATATAGTATATTTAATTAATTTGTAATACTTATACTCAGCAGTAAAAATATTTACACCGTGTGTAGAATCGAACCTATGATACAGAAATAGTAGTATTTTAAACGGCTGGAACTAGTTTTCCAGCCATTGTAAACGTTTGTTAGTACAAACATTTACAAAATTTTGTTTCAATTTACATATTCATGACTGTCCAGTAAAGGAAACATCACTAAAACCAAAAATTTTTTTTCAAATACCTATATAACTAACAAAATGTGGAGAATGTCAAGTATGTGTTATGTGTATATTTTAAACGACACATTTGCGAATTCTTCGTTTAATAATGCATTAATTATGTCTGCTAATTGATTTATTTTTGAAGATATTTAATTATTAGCAATTTTAACTCTACAATATAAAGATACAATGAGACTTTTAAATAGAGCGTCGTAGCACTGTGGCTTTCTACTCTGACTTGCAACTTTTGTTCATGACTGTCCAATAAAGGAAACACCAATAGAACCAAAATTTTATGCCAGTCACGTTTTTTTAAATACCTATATAATTAACAAAAATGTGGGATTAGTCAGTTCGGTTAGTCAGTTATAACGTAAATTATACGTTAAAATACTTTTTAATTTCCAGCACAAACTTGGGATGTATTGTCAATGCTTGTTTACATACGAAGACCGTTTCGTCATTAGTAATTGGTGATAAGTGTCAGCCGCGTGGTGACCATGCATGCGCCACACTACGAGACCGTCTGCGCGGACCTGCACACGTGCTCTATTAGAACTCATCCCAGCACACAGATTAGGCAAGTATATTATGTGTATATTTTTAAACGACACATTTGCGAATTCTTCGTTTAATAATGCATTAATTATGTCTGCTAACAGATTTATTTTTGAAGATATTTAATTATTGGCAATTTTAACTCTACAATATAAAGATACTATGAGACTTTTAAATAGAGCGTCGTAGTAGTGTGGCTTTCTACGCTGACATGCAACTTTTGTTTTGAATTGTGTAGTTATTGTATGACTATTTATAATTGTGACTGACTTTGTGACTGTTTAAAGTAAATGTGAGACGGCTGTAGCTTTAGTTACTGCAACGTTACATTCAAAGGATTTTAAGTGTTAATTGAACCACGATGCAGATAGTTAAGAATCCTCCTGACTACTCAAGGCGATATCAGTATACTCTATACCTATTTATATTTAATTTCAAGAAATATACACTCATACGCTCATGCTCATGATTTCGTCTCTAATAATCTTAAATAGTAACTAATAGGGATAACTATCAGTCATATTAGACTTAAATCTACGCTAGAAACTGTATATTTTGACGAAGCAATTTTATTATTGATAGTGTTAACTAAACAACTATATATCAATATATATTTTACTAACGTACTATTGATTTTTAGTCTAACACAATATTATTAGTATTCTTGCTTATCTTTTCTTATATATAAGGCCACTGATACACGGTCGGTTAGTCGCCAGGTTATGAGACTTATGTATATAGTTTTTGATGATAATGGAGTGCTACGTCCGTCTGCGCTAACGATTTACGCTGGCACCAGTGGAGGATGATAAGGTGAACATGAGGTCAGGTCAGTTAACACATTGTGACAACTTCAGCAGGAATTTATTATGTTATTTCCCAGGGCGAACCGTGTGCCAACTAGATATGATTCATTGCTAGCAACAGGGTCAACAATCCACATTGCTAACAATACCCTTCCTCCTGGCATTTATATTGCGATGTAAGTATACCGGTTCTCATGTTTGGTTGCTACGTCCCTCCTCGTTGGTCTAAACGACAACCGACTGAGCTGGGGGAACTGTTAGCAATGTGGATTACTAGCTATCAATTTACCATATCAGGTTGAACTCTACGCGGTTCCTCCTGGAAACCATTGTGATAGATTCCTGCTAAAATTGCCACGATGGCCTAACTGATGTTACCTCATGCTCATCTTATCATCCTCCACTGGTGCCCCGCCAGCGTACACCGTTAGGGTGTGTACTAATCTAAAAAAAAGCGACTGTATAGTGACGGCATAAGACAGGTCAATTTTATGTTTAATATAATTAATGATAAAGTTACCAAGCAAGATACGCGAAAGTTGCATGCAATGCACTTGTTTTGTATCGGTGCTTTACGATAGCTACACGGATGTAACGTAAACAATCATTTCATCTTTTGTCTTGTCTTTCAACAAGAAGACGTACTGACTTGTATTGCGTAATTTAACCACTTCAGTTATTTAGTAGTTCAGCAAACCGTAATACTTCCGTTGGTTGCGGGTTCGAATAAATATATGGTATGTAATATACATTTGTATTTATGATTACGAGTGTGATTGTTTGTATTGAACTGGTTGTTTTCTAATTCTCTTGTATATACTTATTTACTTACAAAAAAATAATATTTAAATATGTCTATAAATTGTTCAATGTCCATGATATAAATTCTGCACAGTTTGTGACTAGATGGCGCTATGTGAATTGTCCTATATTAATATTGTATATTGATGCGTTATACTTATACCATTGTGATATACGTCCATTAGTCAACTGGATTTTTAGCTCATTACCCATTTTATTATCTAACATAAGTTTTAAATCAAAAAATGTGTCCATTCAATTGCAGACATATATAACCATGGTACTCAGTGGTATAGTACGTGTAGCTACGAGAATGAGTCGGAGCGGTCTTAGGGTACAGTGCTGCCGGCAAGCGATGTACAGCACAGCTTCAGATGCCAAAGGTAGGTCAAGACCTTCAAAATCGTTACTTTATTTTTTTTAGTCTATTACAGACTTTTAATATATTTAAATTCCTTGTCAGTTCGGAATGTTTTTCGCAGTTAATAACCATAGAACTTCACTTGGTTCATAGAAGATCACGAATTCATTTATTTTAATCGAATCATATTAAACAAAAAATCATCTTTTTATACCCATGTCGCTCTAATTAAAGACGGTTATGATAAGTTAAATCTACAGTAAATTTGAAATTGGATAGGAAAGCCTAGAAGAACCGACAAAAATTCAGTTCTCATTATATTCAATGAAATTGTATACGGAATTGGAACCATATATTTATATATATTAATTATAATTAAAATAATAATTTGGTTTAATCATATTTACTAAAATGAAATAATAAATCAGCAGTTCTAATACAGATGTATTACAATTGAGAATTGGTAACAGTATTATATAACTAGTTGACACGTGCAATTTCGTCTGCGTCAAATTTCCCCCATTGTTAGAACATTTTTCATTGCAGGCGGTTCGTATTAATCATAGCGTGACGTTATATGGACCATTACACTCACAAATACCATGGATCTCTATTGGTAAAACGTTTTTTAAATCGGTTTGTAAATCCATAAATTACCCCTTACAACCTCATATATTGTACTGATATTAGTTTCATATACATAGTCTAAATTCAAACGTGGACCTAGCAGTTCCCTCAGACTGAAATCGTATCTGTTAGACAGGAGTTATTTATCACTTTCCTCCCACCTTATCACTTTAGCCGTGCCATAAGTTCTTCCGTACGCTGGAGTACCATCTACAGTATATACACTCATCCCTATTGTTCGGTGATGCTGTAAAGGCCAGCTATAGCTAACTGTATTATAATAGTTAGAATACATAGTTACAATTTAGTTTTATGTCGCTTCAGTAGACACGTTGCTCAACAGTGTTCTGATGCTGTGTATACATTATCAATGACAATAGCACTGTGATTAATTATAAAATAAGCTAACTGGTCGCGACTTGTGTTATCAGCTAAGGGCAACTTGTGTTCATTGTTAATTAAAGACAACAGACTTAAGTAATCACGGCGACAAATATTTTATTATTATTTAATGTTATTTCGTATTCAAAACAGACAGTTAAAGATGTAGAAGATTAACTTTGACAAGTAATATTAAAACTATGACCAAAAAGAAAGACATATTGTTACTATATTAGTTATGCCACCTACGTGGTATAAAAATAAAATTAAGAATTTTATTTTTATTATTGTTACTATAAATAGCACAATAAAGTCTTCAGAAAATAAAATTGGGAACGAAACCCGTATAAAATTTCCGTGATTTAAAAAGGGGATAACTGACTAAAACTCTATTTGAAATACAAAAATTTTAGTTATGTGTAGTACTTTGTGGTCAATCATTATCATTATTACATAGTATATCCAAAGTCGATGTCGCTATCTGTCCCTATGTATGCTTAAATTTTTAAAACTACGCAACCGATTTGAAGCGGTTTTTTAAAATAGAGTGATTCAAGAGGAAGGTTTATATGTATAATACATGTACACCTGTGCGAAGCCGGACTGGGTAGTACATAATATACAGAGGTATATGTTATGTCACTCTGGAATAATGTTCATACTATGTTGTCTATTTATAAATTGTTATTATTATATAAATAAATTGTATTGTAAAATAAAATGAGTTTTTCTCGTTTACAACTTTTCTTATTTTTATGAAGTACTATACAAATATGACTATTACATTGTTTCTGGAAGAATTAATCTATTTCTACAATAATTATATCACATAGCAATTCAAGTTACGAAAGATAATGATATTTTATGGATACGTAGCAATGCTATGTAGAGCGAGTGACCTCTACCCAATTAAACTCTATACAAGTTATAAACAACGATAAACTTCAATAATGTATTAATTCGTACTGTGTAGTTAATATGCTATCATTACTGTACTGTCACGAAAATGCACAACTGGTATACTACCACTAATACCTACAAAAATTGTGAATAGTGGCACCAGATAACACACTAAACACTGAAATATGAAGCATTCAAAATTTACATCTGAAATTGTACATCTTGAAGGTGGTATCTAAAATCGCTTTAACACTCTCTTCCAGACAAACCTACTACCAGTAGGAATTGATCTGCACTAATTACTACGACTGATTTAGTCTTGTATAGTTACTTAAGTAGTTGATTGAGTATTAATATTTTGACTCTAATGAATTAGTGTATCATACACAATACATGCACATTTCAATTTAAAAATGTAAATTTACGAATATTATCTATTATAAAAGAGCAATACGCAAGGCTCTTGTTCGTTCTTCTTGTTATGACACAGCTTTCCGAATGAGCGGTAGATTCCAAAAATAAGTATATTTATGTAAAAGTGCTTAAATTTAATTTCAATAAAGCTTTTTCTAATCTATTCCATTCTATTGTTTACAAATAAATGTCTTGAACTATTATTATCACGAATACAATTACAAAGCCACAGGGAGCAACTAGCACTACCTATTTAACTACAAGAGCTTTGCGAATGATATTAATATAATTTTGTGATATTTTTACACCACTGCATATAGTAGGCGCTGCGAATTTATAAGAAGAACAACCACGGAATAGTCTTATTACAAGCTACGTAGTAGCAGATAAAGTACTGGAAACATCTTATGTTATATATAAGATCGGTTTAATGCCTAGGTTCGTTCTGAATCTAGCTCTGCGAATTTGTAACACGTGATTGAATATCATGCAATTAAACAAGTGTTTACTAAAGGCGAATGTAATTTTCGGATTGCACGTACTGCTGCTGTATTGATTTCGTGTTATGTTTGCAACCTAAAACATAAACAAAAAGATACATAATCTCGTACAAAGAAATTAAAATGAAGAAGAAATTAAATTGGCTCTCTAATAAGAATCCGCTCCCCAGATTCGTAATATGCACGTCAACGTTATATACCATTGTACCTACCGTCCAGGTCGGCTGCCCAATTTAGTTGGTAAATATTTATTTGTCCTTAAAAATTATCAAATTAATGGCAATATATCATTGCATTTCAGATCGGTTCTACACGAAGAAACACGAGTGGGTTTCTGTGAGCGACAACATTGGTACAGTCGGCATATCAAGTTACGCACAGGTAAGTCTGTCTGCATTATTTTCATATAATTACAGGATCGAATTTGATACTTTCAAGATGTACACAAACTTTTGAGGTTGTGACCTAAAAAAGTAAGGGAGTAAGTAAGAGTTAAAAGTTCCAATTTGGTCAATACTAATAAGTTTGCGTTAATAAGAGCCTAGGTCGTCTATCGGTTTAGGACGCCGCCTTACTTCCGACGGTCTCAGGCTTGATATCTCCTACAGTTGACCATTTGTATTCAAGATTTTCTATGATTATTATTATGATCTTAAGTGGTATGATCAATTTCAATATTACTTTGAATATTTTATTTTATTACTCTTCAAAATGTTCAACCATCATTGTCTAATGATAATGTACAATTTTTCACGTATATTATTAATGAGAAAATTTAGATACCATGTTAGACCGCTATTAAGGTAGGTATAACAGTCCTCAAAGCTATATGAAAATAGTTAAATGTAAGGATATTTTATTCAAAGACTGAGGTAAGCATTAGAGAACGCAATTAAAATTATCGCGTATCACTATTTTGTGTAGGCTAATCATTATTTTAAACGACAAAGTTTATCAAAAGAAATTATTGTTAAACAATCTGGTGTGGTTTAGATTTTACTGGCTATCCTGTTTGAGTTAGATACGAGAGAGGTCATACATAAGCCTGCTCATTTGCAATATTTCGTCCTTATTTTAATGACTTTATTCTGATAGTCTCTAAACGCATGAGTGGTATCACCGTTGGCATTTGATGATGTGATATCCACGATACTGGCCGATAGTTATCACTTATTATCAGGTTGCATGTCAGCTTATTTGTCATTCCAATTATATAAAAAACCAAAATAAAAAACTTAATATCCATTTTATATTATAAAATGGACATTAAGAATATAGTTTGTTGCGAGTATAAGAGCTAGATTGCACTAATCGTGCATGCAATCGTCGTCGTTTTCAGCTGGAGCACAGTAGTGATCATAACAATCGCCGGACAATTCATATAGAGATCGGGCTATATGAATTGTTAATATACTTAAAAAATACCCACACCAATACCAGAATTATATCAATAGAAATGTATCATACAAGAACCGAGCCCGCGATCATCGCTAGTAAAGCAGTGTACTAAACCATTAAACGACCGTCCATCCGACCGACCATCATAGTATGTTTAAATAATGGGCAAATTCAGCCTCCTCGAGAGCCTCGTGCTAGCAATGAAACTACATGATCGGGTTACAGGATGCCTTGGGCGAAGTGGTCTACGCGCAACTACCTGATGTTGGCAGGGAGATATCTGCTGGGGAAGAGACAGGCGCTTTGGAGAGTGTGAAGGCAGCCAGCGAAATATACACACCGGTTTCTGGCACAGTTAGTTGAATTCTTCTTTGCTATATTAATAAGAACTTTTAATCTTTATTATAAGGTAACTTCGAAGTCATATACTATAGATACATCTGCCTCTAGAATCTACGTCAATTCCCTATTATCTGGGGTAAAAACGAGGTTCGTTAGGCAAACTTCTTAGCATTCACCATGCGGGTCCAACCTGTGGCAGAGAAGGTAACTCCGAGCAGTTCTCGGGATTTATTACACGGGTGTAGGTTTAGGGGCCCCTTTGACGTACGTCAACTCTCAACTTCATCGCTTGTTTTTCTCTCCCTTTCCAGTCAAGTTAGGTCAAAACCTACTAGCGCTGCCTTAGTTACACGTTCTATTATAGAACTTACTGCAGTTCTACACAGGCCAGAAGATTGTAGAGTGATTTCGCTGGTATACTCTCGATACTACTTTGACCGCATACAAATTAGCCATTTCTTGTTAACTCGTAAACTAGTTCATTTGTATTTTATTAGTCATTTGTATTCAAACAAGTCACGCCTTTTTATCTTCTCTCATTTCGCTTACTTAATTTCATTAATTTGTACATAGGTAACGGAAAAGAACGACGCAGTCGAGTCTACGCCTGCGCTAATCAACAAATCGTGCTATGAAGAGGGCTGGTTGTTCCGCGTCAAGTTGTCCAAGCCGGAAGAACTGAAGCTGTTAATGGATAAGGCAACCTATGACAAATACTTGGAAGAATCGCATTGACGGCAGGAGATATTTCATATAAGTTTCAGTCCACGTTTATTCTCTTAAATAGATATTTGGAGCAAACTCGTAATTTAGTAAATCAATCTACAATAATTTTACGAACTGCATTAATATCACGAGATTACATTCAATTAAAATTTTAATATCTGTGACTCTAAACAAAATAATCCTAAGAAATTATAACCCTATTAATTATGACGGTGTCAAATATTTAATTATTCTATTTTGGTCGTTGAACTTTTTCGTCCTTTTTAGAGATTTTATAACATACTAAAAGGAATTGCGTTTTAAAGCAGTTCTTAATTTTTATTAACAAGTCAGTTAAATTATTCAACCGTTTAACATATTTAAAGCTTTTAGTGTTAGGTATTGGTGATTTGGTGGCTTCCTCGAAGCACAGTACAAGTATAATCGGTTGTATGCAAACTTCGATCGTGGCGGTAACTGTAGCTCCGTAAAACTCCGTGAAGCGCAATGCAGTACCCGTATTTTGGTTTTCGGTAGCACAATAAATTTTCGAGTACTCCAAGCATCTATTGGCCTGGATTCTGAGAGAAAGCATGTAGCACTAAGATGATTAATCTAGAATCTATTGATGAGCAAGATTGTAGGTTATCTTTAGTATATATACTTATAGTATCTTCAGTAAAATTGGTAATAGCAAAATTTTATAATTTGATCTTGTTTCCTTCATGTTAAAGTTGCAGTGCTAACAAATTACTCAATATTTCTCATTAGACAATGGACGGAGAATTTTGTTACTAGAATATAGTGTATTAATTAATATTTAGTTGTTCTTAATATATCAATTGTTATCAGCGCTAATGTCATAAATCACTGCATAGTTGTAATATAATGTATTTGATGTATACGTGATATCGTAATTGTTCTAAATTCAAACATTTAAAACAGGGTAATTATTGATAATGTATATTATAATGTACTATAAATATATATAACGATTTTATATTTAATATTAATGTTGTCCCAATAAAAAAAATATTTTCAAACGAATATATTATTTTATTAATACCCAATCTCAACTGAACACCAAAATTAGAATTCTGTGTAAATTTAATGACAACACACTTGTATAGTCTCAATCTGATAAATTTAGGTTATTGTATGTACACGTTTAAGAAATCTAACTTATTATTGTGTTTCTTTTGCCTAGGTTTGTAGTGAAAAACAGCACTAAAGTGCGACAAATCTGCAGCAATTTATTGCTATTCAATGCTGCAACTTAGACACGGGCATATAATATGTTTATGCGTACACGCATTTTCTTTTTTTTTCTCTATTCATTTTTATTATATTTTATTCTACTTCTTTCATTGTAATATTACTTAATACTGCTACTTTAATTTAAAAAACAAATATGGAACGAAATACAATATTACTGAATTATTATTTATAAAAGTCCCGATAGCATAATAAAGCGTTAATTAATAAATCTGTTATAATATTAAGATTTGGCTTTATTACTGTGTACAAATTTCAGTACTGCCGTAATGAGATATTTAAAGCACATTCTACCTCGTTATCTAGCACCTTACTTTAGTTACAATCATAATATATAAATAAGCTGTATAAGTAAGCTGTGTAGTTGCTTCTATAGCCCTGGCAGCACGGGTCAAAAGAATACCTACTAAGTAGTTTGAACTAATTCTCATACGAATCTATTCAATATTGTTTGCGTGAAAGATTAACAAAACTCGAAACTTTAATCCATTTACATCCTCAAAAATTGCCTGTTTACATTGATTGGATTTTGTAATTACTTTTCCAAATTGATGTATACCGCAGCCTGCTTGACTAGTAAATGCATACCTAAACGCCTGATGCTCTTGACTTGGCTACTTAAGCGCGGCGGCTCCTGATATAATCTCGATGAGTTCTCTGGTGATGACGGCCTGTCGGGTCCTGTTGAAGAGTAGCGTCAGCTTGCGGATCATTTCGGCTGCGTTCTTGGTGGCGTTATCCATAGCGGCCATGCGTGCTGACTGCTCGCTGGCGGCGCCTTCCTTCAGTGCATAATAGAGGAGAGCTGCGAGGGTCCATTCCGCGTAGCACTCCAGCTGATCAGTGTCCATGTCATCAAACACGTTGATGTTAGGTGCTGACTGCAGAAAAACACTTTTAAGAAAACACAGAATATCTCAAAACAATTCACATAACACAATGTAGTAAGCAGAGCTTTTATTACGGACTCTAGTCAAATAATATAAATACAAAGATACATTTTTTGTAAATACATATATAGGAAACACCAAGACTCTTATAAACAGTCACACATATGAATAGAAATATTTGTACTATGAGACGATGAGAGGAATATAATACACGACCATCGGAAGTATGGCGGTAACATCTAGACCACCGAGATTTATTATTCGACTTATCGTTTAATATTCGACTAAAGCAAAGGTCTTAAGTTGAAATTCAGAATAATTAACTGAACAATTCTAAAATGCGAAGGCATTCTTACCTCAATTTTAAACTTATTGAAGAACGGCACAATAGTCATTTCGTACTTGACAGGCGTGAAGTATTTGTTGTAGTATATCTCGCCGATCTCATACGAGTACCCAGCGTCGGTAATGGCTGTCGCCATCACCGACGCATCTGCGAACACCGGAGCTATGCGTCCGATCTATACAAAAAGAATAATATAAGAATTCAATTCAAATTTACCGCAAATATACATATGTGACGCGCGCTGCAGTTGTGGTAGCGTGAGTATAATTATAATAACCCAAGACATTTCACACAACGCCTTCTAGACTCAAGTAACTCAAACCCTGTGTCATGGACACTAGAATTACCCAGGCCCGTTCATCCGATCGATCCTCTCTCCTAGACGATAGTTTTAGACCCATTTTAGTAGCCCTTCAGCCACACCATAAGTTCTCCTGCGTGTTTGGAGTGCTGACTGCGTTTGCCACCATTTTCATCCATTAAAGCCAGCTACAGCCAGCTACTTTACAATAGTATAAAAAAAGTATATATTGTATAGATTTTATTTAAATCGAGGTTACCGTTATATAGGAGTGTTCGTTATTTTAATGTTTATACAGTACATACATGCGTGAACGTGTCAGAAGTTGGTAAATCAAAATACCACTTACGTCTTTTACGCAGACGAGCATATTGTCTGAGAAGGTCCGGCGGAGTAGTGCGCGTGACTTTTCTCCTATGCAGACCAACTTGTGGGTAGGGGCCTCGGCTTTCCTTGCATTCATTTCACGTCGGATGCGCCGTGCTACTCCGCTATGTACACCGCCACACAAACCTGATACAAACATTAAATCTATACTGTATAAATATACTAATTCACAAAAAAAAGAAAAATACTTAGCAAAAATATTCGGAGTAAACCAAAGTACGTAGCATCCATAAACTTTAAGCACCGTCCTTGGTCTGCTCCTCCTAAATTCACTGCACACAGTTACACTGCACACATATGCATGTAAATATCTTAGGACACGTATTGTTTGTTACTCATTCTATTCTAGATTTTTTGTGAGTGAAAGATTAAAAATAATGGCTATTATGTGTTTTTATTATGTTTATTTGAATAAAGATTATTTATATTTCTCTTTATATCTGTTAAATTTGTTCTCAACAAGTTCTCAATAATACTCAGCAAGATGTTTTGGAGAGCAAATTTATAACGTCTACCTTGCTTGATCTGTGATCTCGATACAAATAGATACTTTCAACAATTGGCACTTTACATAGCCATTTGTTAAAGTAGTTTAGATAGTATTACAAAAAACTGAAGGGTGAGTCGTGAAGTCGCTTAGTTGTTTGTTTAACAAACAAACAACTAAGCTACTGTAAGTTGATGATTGTGAAAAAATCATCTAAATCAATCCAACAGATACGGCAGTAGGTATGTGTTGGATTGATTAGATACAGACAATAGACAGTATCTATGTATTAACATACATACTATTAAGTTGACGCGGTAAATCGAATTATTTGCTATTACATTCTGACAGGCGTATTTTATGAATAAATAAATAGTCGCACGATGAAATATAATAGCATATTTTAATATATTTTATAGGTACTTACGCAATATTATGTCTTATGTAAAACCACGTAAGGCCTCTTTTCGTTGGGATCCTTAAATTTGCAAATAGGCATTTATTAAAAATGGTATTAAACAAAGTTGAGTGACGCAGCATATTTTTTTATCTTATATAATTATTGCCAAAGTCAACGAAACAAAGTTAATTAAGTACCTATAACAATTTCTAGGAAAAGAATAATTGTGAGACTGTGGAATCACAGGTTATCGTAACATTGTAACAAGACGAGGGTTTTGTATGATACTATATTGTTTTTAATAATAAATAACATGCAGAATAATAATCCGAAGTCCATTGTTATTATTCGCAAATCTATGTATGTTTTATATTCATAATCTACGTAGCTTTTATACCTTATAATGTCAATTGCGCATCTTCAATTTCTAGGGTGATATAGAATGTGTTAATTCCAACTATCTGGAAGCGACATCTTTTAAGAATGAGATCTTCAAAACCCTTGTCAAAAAAATTATCAAAGAATGACACCTATTCTCTGTATTATAGTAATACCAGTTGTCGTTAAAGTCAATTTTCGAGTTAGAACGTTATTATATTTAAAACGGGCGTTATTTAGGCAGAGATTAGCTCTGATGAATTCAAATGATGTATTTGGATACTTGACAGATTACAAACTATATTAACTCTTGAGAATTGGAGCGGTTTAACAATTTCTATTCGCTCTAAATCTTAATTAACTAAAAATACCTGGTAGGTTGTATTATTTGTATGAACATACTGGTCCAATAAAACAATGCTGGAAGGTACTTCGTAACATATTGTAATTACACTATTATTTGCTGCACGTCACTATTATTAGTAATCATTGTCACTAATGAAATGAGTGACAATGATTTCTATACCTACCGTAATGCCACATCCATTCCGTTAAGTTAATTCATTGATTAATAGAAATAATGTACTTATAAAAATTCCCCGCCAAGCGCCCACAGTTACAGATCTGACCAAGGCACGGCCCGCAACTACTTTATTTAAATAAGTTTTAAAATATGACGTACATAAAATTTTCTTAATAAAGTAATTTTTGTACGTTATACTTATTAGATGGCCAGTGGGCGAGCACGCAATTGTCAGAAAAAATTATCTGTTTTGTTAATGTTATTCGAAGGCGTTGGAAGTCGCAGACACCAGCTGCTGGTAAGTGATAATTGTCACATTATCGTGTGTTTTTTTTAAGTTGAAATATGTAATGCAAAAAACCCACTAGCACTAATTCATTATAGGCAAAATATTAAATACGCAATCAGCTGGTTAATAAGGTCAAGTAACTAAATAAGATTAAATTAGTCGAATTAATTAGAGCAGACCATTGCCTATCTGCACTTTTTCTTGCTGCTCCAGAATTTTTATTTTATGGTTTGTATTACCAGAGATCTCCACTAGTTTAACAGCCCTGATCTATAACGTGAACCAATTAATTAAACATATAAAAACAAAACTTGTACTATCAGTGTATATATGTATATATACATACTCGCATGTTGCTTGGCAAGTCAAGAGTTGGCGTAACGTGTTTGTAAACAATCATTATGTACCTACCGGGCCGTGAACGAGTGCTAAAGAGATCACAACATTGATTTGAATTTCATCATTATGCTTCATGTCTCAACAAATCGTTGAATTTATTTAATTACATGATTATTGAGGTTAGAAGGGATATCAAAATTATGAGCACGATGGATACTATCGACCACAGAAAATCAATTATTTTGTTCCGGTAAATAGGACCTACCATTATATGCAAGTTTCTTGTTCATTCTTCTCGGATAGAATAAATAAACTAACTATTTGAATACTGAACACACACATTTGAATGTGCATATTAAGTTTCTGTGAATAAAGATTACTTCTACTTCTAATATAAAAAAAATATTGAAAATGTCGTCTTACTAATAAATGGCATATATCTACAAACATTGGTATTTACAACGAGTAGAATTATTATTCAAGGAAAACGTGCACATTTTCTATCACATGTGACTAACTAGAACTTTGTATTTAATAAAAGCCATTTACGGAACTGTAACGACAATTTTTATATATAATACGAAAGAATCGAGCTGACGGCCCCCCTGATGAGATAAAGGTGAGCACGAGGTCGCCTTTGGGCCCGAACCCAGCGGTCAATAAGGGCCTGCGAATGATCCTGGACGTCTTTGTAAAATGTAATATTTTTATTATTTTTAAAATAATATAATATTTTAAATAACCACGGTCACATGAGATATATAATGTACCTTAAGCAGAAAAATATTGTTACAGTTATTATTGGTTAAAGTAACATAAACATGAATACCAAAAAATGTAAAAAGAAAAAAATAACATTGTATTAAGACCTAAGACACCGTGTAAATGTGTGTGGAACTTTTCTGATTGTTGCACAAATTTCTCTATTTGCTCTGAGTTTACAATCAAAGACATTTGTGCAGGGCGTGTGCCCACTGCAAACCATCCTGATAAATTCATGGTAAAATTATCACGATGGGCTAATTGACCTGACCACATGCTTATCTTATCATCCTCCACTGGGTCCCACCAGCATATACCGTTAGCGCAGGTGGGTACACCATTCCATCCATAAGAAAAAATAAACATAATTGTGCGTGACACGAGTCACGGAAACACAATAATTATTACATATTATTGGATATTATCTTCTCGACACGTGTCGTTGTGTCATGCTCTGAAGGCTCGCTAGAAGAAGGTTGGGGAGGGGAGAGAGTTAGCATTATATATTTGGTATTATTTAATGCGACATCGTTATTAATATGTGAAGTAAAATCACAACCACTAGATAAAATTAAATCTTGATATACTATAAGTATACGAGTATATTATTTAGCGTTGTACATCAACGCAGAAGTTCTGTAGCAATCAAATTGCCTATTTCATTGGCAAGTCGATGCAGGGATGTTAACGCATGAGTGGATCAGCAGTAAAGTTGTCAAATAGTTGGCAATGTCATGTACTAAAAAACAAATCGAAGATTTTTTTTGCAGTATACACGCATACCTCGACCGCCCATGTACTTAATTATAACAACCGCTTTGATTGAAACGCTTAAATTTCGGCAAAAGCCAGATTGAACTGGTACCATAATAATCATTTGCCTACCTAAACCACTTCCGACCTTTAAGTCCACTCGAGTCCACCGGGTCACGCAAGTAGATACACTTGGTTGCAAATAAAACAAATAAAAGATACGTACCCCAATATTAGATTTGATTACTTAGATTTAATTAGGGATGATCGACGTTAGAAAAACATCGATGTTGTAATCGATGTCGATATCGATGTATGACAAATACCGATTGCAGAAAACATGGATGTTTCTCCTTTACCTAAAAGTGTACTTGTTTTTTAGGCAGCCACTACTTAAATTTTCTTTTACAGGTCTACAACTATTTTCGTTTTCATATTTACTGTTCTTAGTGATTTTGAGCATTACTATTTGAAAAAAAATTGAAATTTTTTGTCGATGTTATCGAAAAGTAACCAGGCAACCAAAACATGTATACTTTCCTACTATATATCGATGTTCATTTAACGTCGATGAATGTCATCCCTAGATTCGATGGCTTTCGGCCACGGTGCTCGTAATGTAACAATATGGTTGCGTTACATCATATTGTTGCAACATAAATCTACGCCGTACATTTTGTTGTTTTGACGCTAATGCATAATAAATTAAAGTTTTTGGTTCTTCGAATCTTGTAAATAAGCTGATACTGACAACGCTTATTTTTTGTTCAGTAGACTTATATGAATAACTTGATAAGCAAAACGTTATCGAAGGACTGAAATAGAAACTAAAATTATGAACTGATATTGAAATTATGAATGTGTTACAGCTATAATTTATTACTGACCATGTATACAAAACTGTTCCATCATAAGACCGCGGGCAGCCACACTTTGATACCGACATCGACTGGAGATAGTCATAATTGTATATATAATTTAATTAATGTTAAATTCAATTTAGGTATCAACATCCACAGGAGTTAGACCTAAAATATTAGCTGTAATTTAGTGAATTAAATTAATTATATATTTAAGTTTCTTTTTAATCATCCGGGTACCATTCCTAATTAATGTCAACCCACACGAGTTAATGGTAAGCGATGGCGAAGTGTCTATACTACATAATACTATGATAATAATGTCAGGTCAGTAGTCCTTTGTGGCGAATTCACCAGGAATTAACCATAACCTTCCTAGTTTCTAGTTAAGATACTGCTACCAATATGACCTTTAATAAACCTTTTCAACCCATCATCGTTTATTTCATGATTGAAAATTAGAAAGGAAAATCAGAATCATATCATCAATCATTCATCAAGAAAATAGGTTTCAGATGGCAGACTCGCAATAAATAGCTAGTTCTAGTTTCAATTTAATGTAAACCAATAATGACGTCAATCGAATTAATTTTGTGCACTATGATTTGTCCTGGACACTTATAGAAATACATACTCTGAGTGGGACGTTCATCTCTGACCCGCGTAGGTGATAGCTGTAATAGGTATAGCATTCAACATGCGGCTTTGCCGTGTTTATAAACTCTTGTAGTGGGTGGCTTTAGTTATAACAACTGTATATTCACATTTTAAAGGCAGACTATGCTTCAGTATGGACCACTACATGATCTGTGGAGTATTAATTTAAATATAAGCAACTTTGAAGGATACTTACAGTATATTATATAAAAAAATAATGAAAATTTTGAAATATACTTATATAATTGTAAAAATAATTCTAATTACTTAAATAGTTATGTGTAGGTATTTATTTATTTTTATTTTCTTTTTCATGTAGGTTTATTACAAACTGTTATGATATGTCAAATCTACCGTCAGTTCAGTGTGTCCGAGCTAAGAACTGACAAGAAACTAAACCTTTATGCTTTTTAAATGGGACATCATTACAAAATGAATATTCAAATGTGATTATTTAAATTCATTGAATAAAGATTATTTCTATTTCTAGTTGTTAATTACATATTATATTTTATAATGGAACCACTTTGCTAAATGTTGAGCGTGATTATTCGAATAATTCGCAAAGCATTGGCTTTTAAAAATTACTAATGTATAATACTTATATCAGTTACTCGACTATAGATTTTTTTATGCCAGATGATGATGGAATAGATCCAGCCCATATGCTTACAGTATATGTTGGTGGAGTATTAGTGAATGGTGATAAGATGATAATACAACGTGGCAAATTCACTAGCCGATTGTTTCCAGGAAGAAGCGTGTGAAGGTTTATCTGCATGATATTGAAGGATGATATTGCTAGCAATACCACACCTCCACTAATCACCATCCTTTCCTCGAAATAATGTCTGTACCAGCAGGCATACAATAATTTAATGTTCTTTAGTAGATTAACTGACGCATTAAAATTAATAAAATAACACACAACATTATAATCTCGCAGATAAAACTGACAGAGCAAAGTGACAACGTCTTATTATCGTTTATAAAAATACCTATTTAAATATTATTCATCCATTGACATAACCATTTATCAGTAAGTAGCTTTTTAATAACTTTTCTATTATAAAGCATAAATAAATAAATAGTTACTCAAGTAAAGAAGTAAATCAGGAAGTAGGTAGTAGTAAATCAGGAAGGAGTTGGCACTTAGTAAATCCATAAAACTAATTACTAATTAATTTTTATTTTATTTTAGGGTTTGAGTGTGACTGTGCGCTCTGCACTCGTTTTCGTCCGGTGAAATTGGAAATGCCAGTTACGGTCAACAGCATTAATAGGTCGAAAATGTTATTTATCATCAGGTGAGTCCTCGTGAGCTTAGGTGAGTCCTCGTGAGCTTGGGTGAGTTTGCCATTCAAATGACATAAAAATATATGTGTAAAGTAACTTGGAATGATTGTACCACATCTCAATACAAACCTCTATCAGAAGTGACTGCTACATAAATTCTTTTAAATTTCTTTGTGTCTTCAGTGTTTTCAAGAGTTGGTTCCGGAGGTGGTTGCTCTTTGTTCTTCTCATCCTTCTTAGCCTCCACTCTATCCAGCACTAAGTGACTCGCCTCGTAGAATTTGCGAGGACCATACCCGAAGGGTCTAGCTGCTTGTAGTTCGCGTTCTGCTTTTGTAAACCTGATAAAGAAAAAAAAAATAAATATAAAATTTTTTCTTCAATTTCTTCAATCGTATCGTATTTAGGGCACAGTTCGCAAACAAAGTATTTTGGTTACAAAACAAATATCAAGTACCAAATGACACTAATTCATAATTTTAAATATTGATTTACCAGAATTATAAAATAAATCAGTCATAATGAACAGAACAGACCAGTTCTTACACTTCATGAGTAAAATCAATAAGAAAAACATTGAAAACGGAATCTTCTCAAAATTAGACTTGGAAAATACTCCTTATCCCAGATTGTCTAAAAAAAGGCTTAGTCGTCATGTTTTTAGACAATCTGGGTTAAGGAGTATTTTCCAAGTCTAATTTTGAGAAGATTTCGTGATCAATACCGGGACCAATCAGTAATTACAGGAGAAATGATCCGCATCTTGGATCCATTGCTACCACGTTTAATGTGTGGTGATAAATTGTATCAAGAAGACGGCCATAGGATATCTTCTCTGCTTTATTTTGAAGCAAATAAAGTCGAAAAACAAGTAAAGTGTAATATCTAACACATACACTTTTTCATACGTGCACTTACTTGCTGGCAGAAACCATCTTCATTGTTTTCGTAATTTTCTGAATGTTCTTTATCGACTTCAGGCGCAATGAGACCTGTTTCAGTTGGACCATTTCTCTATTTAATTAATAAACTTTACTGAACATAATTCAATTGCAAACGTTGACATTCCGCAATTTCATTTTTTTTAATCAATAAAAATCATAGAGTGCTTATTATTTATTGCGCTTATAAATGAAATCTTTTTTCCTCCTCGTCGTCCTCTCTTTATTATAATATATGAAATTTGTTTTATATTCTGAATATTGAAAATTAAATATAATTACTTAAATGTTTTTTTCTATTCTATTCTAGGGTATATAGGAGTGTGATTTAGTTTCGTTTCTTCACCAGTAATATCTACTGATAATATATTTTAGGATAGAATAATATATTTTATTGATATACCACCAACATTTGTAGAAGGCCTCAAGATTCAAGGCGCGAATATCCTTAAATGTAAGATACATACAAGTACATATATGTACATGTTACAATTAACATGAACGACAGAAAACGAAAAAGCTTTCTAGAAAACCGAACGATTAAATTGGTTTATTGCAATTTGATATATTTGGCTAACTATATATTCTAACATTGCATTGACTTAATAATTATCAGAGCGATGTAAATCATAACAGAGGCGAGTGATATTTATAAAAAAATACATGTCGGAATATAATTTTATTGTTATCTGGATGAACTGGCATGTTTGCAATCACGTACAAATTGTTTCGACCGCGACCCTGACCCTTCAGGGCGCTGACCACGGACGCAATTATTTTTAACTAATTACAGTATAATGGATTTCTATAAGTTCAATATTTTGCTTAATATTAACGTTTGTGTTCGTAATGGTACTGGTAGCGGCAGGAAATTATTGGTCTAATCGTGTCCTTACGTATACTGCGCTGGCGGTATACGCTGGCGGGGCACCAGTGTAGAATGATAAAATGAGTATGAGGTCAAGTCAGATAGCCTATCGTGTCAAATTCATGAGGAATTTAACATGATGGCAACAATTTCCGGGGGTAACCGAGTGGTGCGTAACCTAACATTACTTAGAATGGGGTTTTTAAATATTCATTATGTTATGTATGCATCACAACCATCACATGACAACATTATATTCATGGTATTTTACAGCTTGTTTACCATTCCTGTTCTTGAATCGACAAAAAATATCACAATAGTCCTATAAATAATAAACCCTTATCTTAGAAAAGTGACGAAATTTATCTGAACCAAATAGAGAAAAACCCGAAGCATAATATTTTTTGTTATGTCCCGACGCTATCTGCGTAGATGGAATGTTGAACCTGTAACCCATAACGTCACTCGACGCCACCACTGCCCCGCCGTGTACCACCGCGTCACATCAGATCTACACATAAATGGTGCACGCTCGCGACCAATTTGTTTACTCGTCAGCTGAGCGTACGCACCTTCACATACGAAATACACCCACCATGGATATCCAGCAGAGGTTTCAGGAAAGGGAACTGTCCCTATCCCCACCTGACAAGGTTAGCTTTTTTTCATTACATATCATTATAATCAAGTTAATTGGATTATATATAAATGCGCTGTGCGAAGTACGATCTGTTATATTATTTAAATGTGCAAATGTGTTATTATTATGATTTATTTGTATAAGAAAAATAGATATTTTTAATGATAATAAAGATGAAAATTACGTTTGTATAAGAAAATTTGCATAAATTTTCTTATACAAACGTAATTTTCAGAAATAACGAAATCCTAACATTTTTTTGGAAATAGCAACGAAATCCTAATATTTTATATATACTTAATATACTTATGGAAGTTGTTATAACATAATAGTATTATTTAAATCTAAAAAATTTATATCATTTCTCTAAGTGATAAAATGAAAAAGAGTGAGAAGAGTTATTTTTATTTAAATATGTTTTGTTTTATATTCAGTAATAAATGCACTCACAGATTTATATAACACTCGCCTATACAGGAAGTACAATCAATTAAACTTGTAAATAACAGCTTTCTATTTTTATTGTACATGATAATTATTATTTTCTTAACATCGACTTGCAAGGAACAATTTCTTAAGATACATATTGTTCCTTATTTTTATACCAAACGAAAACATTTTAAATAGTAGTTTGATTCCAATGATATCGAATCGAATTAAAAATTATTTATTCGTTTAGGATATTTTAGCCGCTTATGTAGGTTATTTATTATTTATGTAGGTTATTTTAGACGTAAAATTTTCTAAATATATTCCACAGAGAAGAACGGGCAAGGAACTGAATCTGTTTTTATAAAGGAAATTATTGTATTATTCTCACATTGTATTGTATTTGAGTATACAAATTAATTCAATTAAATTATATTTTGATTCTCTCTGCAATAGAGTAACAAGCAAATTTATAGTTATTTCTTCCGACTGAACAAGAAACATTTAGGTCTGCTTTCTGAATGAGTGGTGGAATTAAAAATAACAATTCTAATATTTTGTACTAAGTTAACTTTATTGTGGTCAGATTTAATTTATTCACCTATATGCATTAAATATAACTAAAACAATAATAGAAAAAAATCAGAATTGGTTTTAGGTTCTAAATTATTATAGATTATTACGATATAAAAGATATGTATAATTTCACATACAATATACAGAAAAGCAAAATGTACCTCTATAACTTTACGCCTTTACCGCTAAATTAAATTTTGCTTTAAGTTTTATCTATTGACACTATATTATAAAAAATATATATTTTATTTAGATTTTTATTAACTAAAATTCTTAAAGTAAGAAATTATGAGTACCATCATAGGAAGTTGTGTAAGTGTTGTATTTCTAAGATTTTTTAATTGTTAATAAAGCTTAAATATTTAATACGATTGGCATTATAAGTGTTTGTAGATTAACCACAGTTAAATTTATCAGTATTTGTTTTTACTCTATCTGCTTTTCTACAAGTGCTGTATATACCTATACAGCACTTGTAGACAAGCAGACATACACGGAGCCATGCCATGTTTAATACATTTCCTGGAACTATAAAATACAGGAAATACCTACAATTTTTGCACAGCAAGTCTCATAATTATTAGTATGCAATTAATGATAATTACACCTTTATTGTAAAGTTGTGTAATTTAATCTAAGTAAAGGTTTTAACTGCCAGCCGGTTTTTAATCGCAACCAATTTCGATCGTCATTGAAAAGTATCATTGCTTACTCTTTATAATTTATTGATATATGAATTCTATATTCTTTAATTATAATTATTATGTAATAAATTATATAGTAGCAATGTATCAGTTTCATGTTTTGTGATTATTAATCTTCCTGATAATATTATCAATTTATTTGATCAATAATTTAAACTGCATTGAAATCAATATTGAGAATAGCTTTAGAGTCATTTCAATATTGCTTACTTAATATTTAATGTATTTTAAGAACATATTACAAATAAAGGCACTATACGAGCCCGACATAGCGTTGAAAGGTAATATAAACTAAGATGTGTAAGCAATGTGTCATACAAAATTAAATATAGATTTAAGATAACATTTATAGGTCTACGATTATTTATTTTCATTACGTACTCACTTCATAAACACAAGAACTAGGCAATATAATAAATCATACTCTGATATCTATGCAGTAAATCACTGCTCAATGCTTCAAAACTGCATCAAACATCATTTAATCGATTAGAATTAATTAGGGAAATTAATTCTCGGCTCCTTAATTGGTATATATACTTTAGTTAGTATTGTATGGTATATTATTAAGTAGTCACTAGGCGATAAGGTCCCTATGCTAACAAAACGAAAGTGTATCTCATGGCTGACGACATTAGCTGATGTCACGGGTTATCTTTGTAATAATTCTGACTACGACCCCGAATATCAACGCTAAAATAGGACATTTTTGTTATCTACGTTTTTGTCGCCATTATAGGTATTAGCTAAAAGTTTCAAATGTGGATATAACCTTGTCGCATTCAATGGAATATCAGTTGATAGCTTATCTGATGGAAAGTCTGAACCATCACCTATATTCATAAACCGGATCACTGATGAAACAAAGCATATTAAGCTCTCTAATACCCTCCTGTTGCCATTCCATATTGTAATTCTACTACCATATTTCACCACTCAAATCTGCCCACAGTTAGCATTTCAAACTGCTGATCGCAAATAATAAATGCTCTTGGTAAATAATCTTTTTTCCTCTTTCAGCCAAAACTGATGAAAGGCGGCAATTATATCCGAGAAGGCCGTGATTCCACCAAATCTACTTGGCTACTATTTTCTCCTGAAACCCCCGATGAGGCCGGTTCATTGGCCAAGTTTTTAAGCATATTTTCAGCACATGGCGTTAATTTAATTCATATTGAATCTAGATCTTCCGCCAGAAGACCAGGTTACGAGTTTATGGTAGAATGTGAACATGGAGCAGGTGATTTCGGTGCTGCACTGGAAGAGCTTAATAAAAATGTGGGATATTTAAATATTATATCCAGGAATTACCGAGATAACAGATGTGAGTTGTGAATACTGATACTAACTTCTAAATAGAATAAAAAATGTTTCATGTCTTAACGTAACAACAATATATTTTGTTTTTTTATAAGGTTGATCATTTTTTTCTTATTATATCAGTTATTAAATTGTTCGGTTTTGAATGTCAGTAGAAACCTGTTACTTATCTTTCCTTGTTTTTGCAACAGCTGCCGTCCCGTGGTTTCCTCGTCGTATACGTGATTTGGACAGATTCGCCAATCAGATCTTATCTTATGGCGCCGAACTGGATTCTGACCATCCAGGATTTACGGATCCAGAATATCGCATCCGCCGTAAATATTTTGCAGACATCGCTTACAACTACAAGTACGGGCAGCCACTGCCACACGTAGACTACACCAAAGACGAAATTGCCACTTGGGGTGTGGTGTTCAGAAAACTAGTAGAGTTGTATCCGACGCATGCTTGTAAAGAGCATAACCATGTATTTCCTCTATTGATCGAGAACTGTGGCTATAGAGAAGATAATATACCTCAGTTAGAGGACGTATCAAACTTCCTTAAAGGTAATTAAAAGAATATTATACAAGAGCATATATGTTTAATGACAATGAAATAGCCAACAAGCGGATGATGATGGTAAGCGATAAATTCGCCGATATAAAAGAACAGCACCACGGACAACACATGTTGCGACACTAGCGACTCTAAGAGTCATTCCAAAGGACTAAGACGTCATTAACTTGTAATATCATATTAATGGCAAGTGATACTTAACCATGTATAAAATTATAAAATACTGAAATATACAAATAAATAGAATCTTAATTGTATACAAAAGAGCGCTCAAATTCAATAGTGAATCTTTTTATCGTCCTCAGTATTCGATACTAATATACTGATAATATCAAGTCTGTCATTAAATATAATTAAAAACTAAGCCCATTAAAAATACTGTACGAAGATTAAGTCAGTATTATATGATCCACTTCATAAAAATCCTAATTTTTTATTTGCAGATTGTACCGGCTTTACCTTGCGTCCAGTAGCTGGTTTACTATCATCCCGCGATTTCCTCGCCGGCCTGGCGTTTAGAGTCTTCCACAGCACCCAGTATATAAGACACCATTCCCGTCCCCTCTACACTCCGGAGCCTGACGTCTGCCATGAGCTACTAGGACATGCCCCACTATTCGCAGACCCAGCGTTTGCGCAGTTTTCTCAAGAAATCGGTCTTGCTTCATTGGGAGCCCCTGATGACTATATCGAAAAATTAGCTACGGTAAGTCGGTATTTTCATATATTTTTTGGACTCTAATTACTTAATGGCAGTTTGTAGCATTATACTTATCAATTTATAAATGTAAAATTGCAACAACTTAACTATCGTATTAACTATTCTAATGTCCCACGCAATTTTCTTAGTACTTTCATAAGAACTAATAACAAACACAATAAAAAAATAATTAGCGAAATCGGTCCAGCCGTTCACGTGTGACGCCGCCCGGTACCAAGGGAAATCTGGATTTATTTTTATTTATATGGATAATTAGTGAGCATAATTTTCTTTAAGGAGATATTGATCCCTACAAACGCAGTAGCGGTTATAGGTCTGAAAGGAGACCTATTTATCTAATGGATATCGGACCCCTAGTCTGGTCACCGAACAGTGAACACTTGGCCTCTAAGCTATATTCGCTGTATTTTTTAATTTCTTATAGACGAATCGTTCACAGACGAAAAAAAATTGTTTCTCTTTTCAGTGCTTTTGGTTTACCGTGGAATTTGGTCTGTGTCGACAAGAAGGCAAGTTGAAAGCTTTTGGAGCTGGTTTACTGTCCTCGTTTGGAGAATTACAGTACTGTCTCTCGGACAAACCAGAGCTCAAGGAGTTCGAACCTGAAGTGACAGGCACGACTAAATATCCCATAACCGAGTACCAGCCAGTGTATTTCGTGGCCAACAGTTTCGAAGATGCTAAGGACAAAATGATGTAAGTTGATCTGAGAGGAAGTTTTACCAATGGCTTGAAATACAATTTGCTAATCCTATTATTATTAATAATATTATAAAGGATTTTTTTTTGTGAGGACATATGAGGGAAAATTTACTTGTTCTTACGAAAATGACTGAACCGATTTTATGAAATATTGTACAAATATATACAATAATCTAAATTAACTCAAAGGATACTTTTTACACTAATTAATACGAACAGCGCTAAATCATTCGTTCACAGCCAAGTTAACCTGTTTAATAAGAGCTTGTAAAAACCACCAAAATACAAGTTCAGTATAATAAAATGAACTGTAATAGTCATTATTACACAGAACTTAGATTTTGAATTATTAAATATATCCAGAGAGAACCAAGTATCGACTTTAAGATTACTATTTATTATAATCATAATCATAACAACCCATTAGCATCTACTCACTAGACGTCATCATCGGTTCGAGATCGTGTGTTATCTCTACATAAACATGCCATTGCGACTAACTTATTCTCTTCGATCCGGCCGATAAGATTTTAAATTTGGGCTAAATCCGCAGTATTATTGAAAAATAGTCGTGGAAATAAAAAAAAGGAAATCGAATATAAACAATACTTACGTGTTTAACTGAGTTGTCGACATGTGAAATAGTAAAATATTTAATCATATTTCTCGCTCATTATGATATGTTGAGTTTTTCCTTAATTTCCTTTCGGGTGATATTGAATTCAGCATCAAAAGTTGTATTCATGTAGGTCTATTACAGACTCTTATGATATAACAAACTTACCTTAGTCATTAAGGTTCACAAATTAAGATCTAAACAGTAATCCATATACAAATTACCTAATTCCACCAATTATGCACAGGTAGTTATTTTAATTATTACCAAGTAGCAGCAAGACAAGTTGAAATATTTTCAAAACCGGCTTTGAACAGCTTATAAATTTTTGCAAGTTGTTTGAACTGGTTTAGTTTTTATTCGTTTTCTATGGATATCGACATTTAACAGACTCCGTTGGTGACTACAGTAACTAGTTGTCATGTTTATATTACAGCATTATCTTACAGCCAATAATATTAGTAATTATTCGTGCGTTTTCAAAAAATTAATAACTTAAACTCCGGACTATAAAAATCAAAAACTCAGTATGCATTTTCTTGCAACAATATAAGCGTGGTGTCTTTCATCTAGTATATAGCAAGCATTAAATATAATATCTCATTAAAGCAAGTTAGTTAGTCGTACATTTGCTACACAATACTACCTTTGCTGATTCTACAGAGATTTAAAAACATATTTTGGTTACATATGGCTGCATCATTAGTGTATATATAAACAGTTACCTCACATTACTTGAAATCAATGGAATGGAGAACCACCTCGCAATCGTTTTAATTTGTATAATACTGTTACATTAGTTATTATACTTATTGGGTATTTCAGCAAATTCGCGCGAATGATACCACGTGATTTCGGTGTGCGATACAACCCGTATACGCAGAGCATCGACATTCTGGATTCTTCGAGACAAATGCAGGATTTACTACGTGGTGTACACCAAGAAATGGATTTACTCCTCAATGCCATGGAGAAACTATAGACACACACATAAGACACCAACAAATGAGACAAGGGACTATATACCTGAATATTAAAATATATTTTGTAGAATAGGTACTATCGTATAATTTAAGCAGTAAGAAACTATACATAAATGAATAAGTAATAATACAACGTTATAAAGCCTCATATTAGTTTATGTCAGCCTCAAATTAAAAGAATTATGATTTTTTTTGTAAATACTTAGTTAATGTCCTGACTAACAAACTATCATACTCATGAATGTTTGTATTGTCCAGGAATGGGACCGGAGCTGATCGGTTCCTGTAGTGTATAGTTGAAGGTGTTGTAATATTGGTGACGTGATGGTTGTACTAAGTTATATGCTCACTATTACTATTGGGCGATTGGAAATTTGTATAGACAATAACATTTTGTTATATTCTAAGTTATAAATACTTTTTTAAATAACAGATGATATCAAATTACGTTTAAGTATTCTGTTATTTATTTTTATATCTAGTATTAAAATAAAATAAGTAACGATATTATGATTAACTACTTAAGTAAGACTAAGTTTTATTGTCATATAATTGATGCTAGATTATATTATAAAGTTATTTATTGATGTGCATTTTTATATGCACTTAAATATACATTAAGTTATTATGATATATTATTATGAGTTAAAGTTGTTTACTTCTTTAATAAAATGTTTATTTCTAGAGACGTCTATATTCATTGTCATAACCAATCATGGAGTGCGATTCTGACTAGACATTCCTAATCTTGTTTATGTTCAACTACACATGTTATATATGGTTACAATATTTACTTGGTCTTATCGAGGATATGATCGGAATTGTTCCGCATTACTGAATACAATACCAATTAAACTACGACTAATAAAACAATAGAGTGAGGATCTCAGACTCACACTCGCGTCATGTCTTTATAAAGTATTCATCGAATTTTTTCTCTAGGTACCCGTTTGATTTCCGTATAATTACGCATGAGCCCAGGTTCGAATCCCTTGATGTGCCATCAGACTAAAGTCATATCAGTCAGGCAGAAGTTGGCCTTCGGTCACCCGATAAGTCCTTAATCAGGTTTAAAGTGCTATCAGTTGAAGCAGTAATGGTCAGATTCGGCCAATGGCATTAGAATTTCTCTCTCCCTTACACAACGGACTCATGTAATTAGATATAGGATGCTGATTTTCCTCTTAGGTAATAAAAAGGCAAATACAATAGAATCATTATAACTATAATATTTGATCATCCCACCGCTGCGTCTCTTCATACGTGCAGGATTTACACTACCATTGTCACACCGTGTCCGTTAAATTTAATCAAACATACAGGACATTATTACCAGTTCTTCTTCTCTTTTACAGATATACTTGGTCCTTGATGTTTCAAAATTGTTAAGCATATCAGAACGGTGGTAGAGAACACCGTAGTTACGCACTATATTTTACGCATAGATTAATTGTAATTAAAGTTTATATGTAGTTTTAGATTCTATTAACTCAATTTTATTAGAAAAAAATATAATGTACTTTCCTGTGAAGCATATTCTTTGAAAACAGTATGAATAAAACACATTTTGTAATCAACATAATAATTATATTACTCAATAATTTGTACAGAATAATATTATATATCTACACTCATTTACCGTCCGTACCAAGAAGGTTTCAAATACGGTCATATCATTAGAGCGGGTACCAAAATGTCATTCCTTAAATGTATTTTTAACATTAAAAATCTCTATAAATATAAAGTTGCTTTTGTTTACAAATTGTTATTCGTTCTCGGAAGTTAATAATACATAAATAGAAGGACAAACATTTTAGAAACGCCATTATCATTTAAGCATTATAATATTAAATAATTTTAAACATTTCTAACGTAATTGTATAACAGTCTGTACACACACTGATTAACTTCACTGACTACTAATAATAAATATGAGAAAAATTAAATTTACATTGCATTTACTGTTAAGCATAAATTAGTTATTTACAATATAAAATACATACGGATTATAAATACAGAAATAATATAGCACTATTTCAACATAACACGATTACTTACATGTTTGTATACATATTAGATTATTTAGTAGACATAGATTTGCAAAGACTATGAATTTAGAAATTAATTTACTAAAAAATAATCATATAAAAATGCAAATGTCTAATAAACGTATTATGTAGCTAATGAATTATTTTGTCTTTTCCTATCGAACTATTTTTATGATTTGAAAGATAATAAAAAACTTTATAGTGCTTAAAACGTTATATTTATAATCTAAGCAAAGTGATTGAATTGAACTGGCTAATAGCGCCTTTTCAATTTAACTGAGCAATATTATATAGTAGGATATCAGTTGCAGAAAAAACTGACTATGTATTTGTGATGAACCAGACCGGTTTTTCTAATGATAAAGTATTTAAACGTATTTATATCTCGTGAGGGAATTTGAGTATAAACATTCATTGTTATTATACATACGTAATGTGTATATAAGTATAATATATAATGTATTACGTTTTTAGAACAAAATTTTCACAAACTGTCTGAAAACGTAAAGTATTATAGATAAATTATTTATTGCACTTAATTGTATGACAACAAAGAAATTTTATAATATAAATGACCATCATAATTATTAAATTGCTAACCTAATAGAATAAATAATACATACAGACGATTTCACAAATCGATTCTTTTTATGTACATACACTTAAATGATATTATACAAAAATTAAATTTTTTAGATAATTGAAAGTTTAGTAATTTCAATTAGCTAAAAATATTTACTTGAGTACTTATTTACAAATACAATTTCGAATCTCGTGATGAGTTACACAACGTTCAGTTGGGGACTAATTATGTATAATATGTAATACTAACAATTCTCAGTTGCAACGGATGACAATCGCAATCCCATGCAATTTTCTATAAACTCTTGAGAGTTTCAGGTGCATCCTAAGTTATACTGTTTGCAATTACAACTGTGAAATAATTCAGACATAACTACAAAAATGAAGAAACTGCTTCTTTTAATCTGTTTTAAATGCGAAGTATAAGCATTACATAATTAAGCGCCTAAAAGATATCTTAGGTATAGTTAATGTAAAGAAGTAATAGATAGTAGAGGTAATGATCAGGCAGTGGTAGAGTTATAGAGACGACATTATTATTTACTTAATTTAATTAATAAATAAATTGAATTTTTATAGATACATAAATTCGTAAATTTGTTATTGTAACAGTAAGAGAAAATGAAAATGACTATTTTCGTCTTTCCACCAGATTCAAAATGTAATTCGAAAAGAGATGAAAAAACAATTTTTTTAGTATTTAGTGACCGAAGCAGACATTTGGCAATATACCTACCTACATACGTTAATATTTTGGACGTTTTTAATCTAGACAATATACTTGAAGTGTGTGTGCGAGGGAGATATTAAGTGCAATAAGGAATTCATTATGAAATATCTATATACTCTATATCTATTGACGCATTTACAATTATAGAAATCTAAAAAACCTTATAACGAGTACGTTAAGATAATGTTGATTATAGTTACCACATGACATATCACAGTTAATAGATACAAATAAATTATTATAATAACTTAACTTTTTACAATAAATAAAAAAGTTGACTTAAATTATTAAGATAACATTATATTTCATTATGTATTTAATAAGTTATAATTTATTTGTACAATATACAATAATTATGAATAATCTTAATTAACCATTTTTCTCACAATGAATTATGACTGTATAGGTACGTATTTGTAAATCATTTATGAAGTAATTTAAGGAGCGGAACAAGTATATAAAAATTGTAGGTACATCGCTTTTCCAAGAGGTTGCGGAGTAGGCGGAAAGATCTGTGTGTCAACATTTCAATCTTTGACAGTCTGTTCTTAATGCTTATCCTGTAGTGTACTCTTGGTAAAAATACAGATAATAAATATGCATTGTCTACATTATTTTATGAAAGTGGTAAAATACATTTTATTGTATAATTTAAATTACATTACATAGCTAGCATAAATAAAGAAAATCATTAATTAATGGAAAATTTCTGCCACTTTTACAGTAAAAGTATCTAAATATTACGAATATCTTCCACAGTTACTCAAATGTAGAATAGCACGCTATTTATAATATAAATAAAACGTATTTATTAATTATTGGCAAATATTTTTTCAATAATATCCTGATTTTGATTCTACAAAACATTGTTTTAAACTCAGCTTCCTACCGTTTTACTAAACGATGACTGAGTTTTAAGAATGTGCATAAATCAATTCCATAAAATCTGATTTCGTGGAATCAATAAAATGGGTGCTTAAAAATATATTGAGTTTTTATTCGCGGGAGATTTATAGTACAGTAAAAATATTTAATTATTTTTAAATTATTAAGTGAACAATAGAAGAAAAGAAAGATTTGCTTAGATGGCAATTGTAGTACAGGATATATGTACCATACAATACTTCATATACTGTAGATGCAGAGTTTATAACTTATAATAGGAATTGAATAACCAAAATAGTATTCAATATACGTATTGCTAATAAATACGAAAACGGGGAGTTTTCGTATTTCATCTTCATCCTTCCTTCTACATAAATGCTAATACCTCCTACAAACCCACTTTAACTAGTATACTGTTTTATCTTAATCTAAATCTAAAAATTGGTGTGAAGAAGAGCACGAAACAATTAAATTAGTAAAACTAGGTTTATAAAAGATTTTTAGCATTTTCTTATAAATAAGGAAATAAACTTGTGGAATTAATAAAAAAATAGCTGTAAATGCTTAAATTAAAAATATATTAGTTAGTGAGACTTAAAACTTTTTTTGAGTGGTGGTTCCACTGAAAATCAGTACTGCAGTCATACACACAAGTTGAGCGAAGGCCCTATTAGCATATAGCGCCATCTTGGTTTTTAGATGCTTTTATGTTTTCCACATTGTACCACGCTATGCTGAATAAATAATAATAGTTATTAAATCACGTAGAAATTGAATATTTCTAACGGCTTTATCATTTTACAATGTAGTAGGCAGAGAAAATTGGAGATAATATTACTATCTGGGATGCCAACCGCACTAGGACCTTTGTAAGGGTTTTTGGAGTTCGGTTCGAGGTTCGGGAACATCGTTAATTTACGTTGTACGAATTTATATCTGTCTCCTCGCAGATACAAAAAGTCTGTAGGTTGACAACCCTGATTAAAAATTGGAACAAAAATATGATATGCTTACAAATTACACATGTTAATTATATATGACAAAGTATTTACAGATCCAACACGTTTGAATGACTAATTGCAAATTTTAACTCTACGTAATCGAATATAAGACAGTCAGATCTGTGAAATTAGATACGGAAAGCATTTAAATATAATAGTTTCAGATTTTAAATCAGGTTGGCCGAAAGCCTGTCCGCCATTTCCACAGTGTATACAAATATGTGTATAACCGATAGATCTACCGTTTAATATTATAGATCTAATATTTAATATTATATTATAAAATTGAATATAAATTGTAATAGTAATATTAAAAAACATATTAAATATTTTTTTTTAATCTTCCATGTTACTCATATAAAAAGCTACCTTATTGAATAATATGTTATTTACAAAAAAGATGGATATCCTTATAAAAGTTGCACTGTATAAAAATTGGCGGGTGGATAGTAATGAATAAATATATTTTTATGTGACTGGAACAGTATACAAGCTTAATAAATGGCAACCTTTGCATATAAAGGAGGTCACATTTGCTTCATATATACAAGAGGTTCAGTAAGCACCACGGAGCCCACGTAGTTCACGACGTGGCAGCGCGGTCACTGGTGCTCACACCTCGCTCTGCATGCAGTGGATCGAAGAGTCCTCCGACAGCTCGTCCATCGATGAGTCCGTGAATGAGGTGCCGTCTGCAAACACATTATACACACTTTTTAATATTTTATTCGCGGTTATTTATACGTAAAAAGAATCCGATATTTCGGCAGTGTTTCAGCCGCCATCATAACGGGCAAAATGAAGAGCAGCTGGTAGATAATAAAAATATAGGGGCAGCCTTATTCGTCTACGTCTATAAAAATAAATAAAACCTTTGTGATGGTTGTAGGTTAGGCGATGCCATTCCAGAGAACGGGGCTGTTATTCCATGGACCCTGACGAATTTCATTGACGTATCTCCCAAACTTTTAAAAACGAGTATACGAAAGTGTAACAAGAATGATTACAATAGTAGAACTGCATAAGAATCTCAGTCTGTGTATTAGATAATTTGTTATTGCCTAAATACAATGTTGAATTATTTTAGTATACTAGTATGATGGTATAGTCCTAAAGATAAAATAAAGCTAATTTAACTTAAATAAAGAACTATAAACTCCCTATGTTTCTATCTCTATCTGTTCACGACGCACCTTTATACATATTGTTTATGTTTCTTATTGTCTAACTAGCTAGTCGTCACGGCTTCGCATGGGTGTACATGTGTTATATATATAAAACTACCGTCACTCTATCTATTAAAAAAAACCGCTTCTCAATCCGTTGCGTAGATCTAAGCAAACATAGGGACAGACAGCTACAGCGACTTTATTTTATACTACGTAATAATGATGATGATACATATTTTATATAGAAAAATATTATTCTGTTACTATTCTTTATTTATCATTGTTCAATTCATACTTTTGATAAATGCTATTTCTTCTCAAAAACCATCTCGCCGTAATTCAGTGCTTTCGCTATACTATTTCTGTATCCTCTATGTTATACTTTATACTATATATATACAACTATTTTTAGGTATTTGTAAAATATTTTTCCAACCCGCATAAATGCCGCCAGGATATTACATAAAAATGTTCTGCAGTCAACTATATGACGGTATCTTTTTTAACATCCCGTTTATATAAACATGATATTCCAATTAAAACGAATATTCGCCTTTTAGATATCACGGCTGTGTTCGGGTGATTACACTCGCACCCACTCGCTGTGAAATAATCTTCAAGATAAACCCGGGGACACGAGATGATTGCCATGTTCCGTTTTACTAAGTTAAGACTATTTTGGTTGCTGATTGAATTGTTTGTGTATATTTTTTTAGTAATATACTAGTGGTTGCCGTATTCTCTAAAGTTTAAGTTTTAAGAAGTATTACTTGTTGCTACCCGCAACTTCGTCCGCATGTAATTTTACTTCATTTTTATTAAAATAAATAAAATTTGTAAAATAATAATTCCTTAAGTTACTCCTTATATTAGCTATCTATTGAAAGTTCCGTTAAAATCGGCCGAACCATTTCAGATATTGCAGGCAGACAAAAATGATTTAAATTATTTTTTTAACGTTTAGATCGTTCTGGACACTAAATATTTAAGTGAAGTTTACGACACATTCATGACCCGCACCCAAATCGGTTAACCCTCTCTTATTGTTAGATAAGACACAAACGCATAGACAAAAAGACAAAATTTCATTCTGTAGCGCTGATAAAGTTTAGACAGCGATGAATTTAATATAGTGTAATTTTGTAAGTACACTTACCTATCGGCACAAAGGGGGGTTTGTTCTGGAACGAGTACGTGAGGTGTAGGTTGATGGGCCGGCCAAACCCCACCGGGTCGCTATCCCGCGACATCACTGTGAACAACATTCCTATTACACTACGAGACACAATTCAGAAAGAGACTGTACAAATTTGCTACAAAGACAATTAACATTCTAATTATTTCGCAAAGGCAAATAGCAAGGAGATACTGAAAGACAATCGCCAGTAGCCCGACGTGACCAAAAGGGTACATGTTCTTCTACAAATCTACTCAGATACTAACGCTGACTTTGTTTCCCCTTTCCCGTATGCTGGTGTTTCTTCTGCCGAGCTCGACTGTTCTGAAACCAGACTTGTGTGACTCGCTTGCTCAGACCCGTCACTTGCGCAATTCGCTCCAGATCCTGTCCATCGGGGTTCGAGTCCAGTTGAAAATTTGCCTGCAGCACCTGAAGCTGCTCCTCTGTAAACGTGGTCCTGACACGTTTCGCTTTACTCTTGTGGTATCCTTCTGAGTCACAGCCATCTGTTTGAACAAATGCTATTAGATCCAATGCAATAAACTCTATAAAATATGGTGTAGAAAGATATTTTGTGGTGAAATGAAGAACACATTTAAATTCAGCATCGGATAAGAGATTATCAATTACTAATTATACCTCATTTAATCTTTGTAGGACATGTTATTTATGTAAAAATGCTTTACAAATAAAATTATAGTCTTATCAGTATACTTAAACAGGTTTTATAACATATATGGCAATAAAAAAATATTTCTCTCGACATTTCGACTAGGTTGCACTAGCCGTGGTCACGACTTGACTGGAGTAACAGCGCATATTTATATATATATATATATATATATATATATATATATATATATCTATATTTGCGATAACATTATTTGTGCAAAAACCTGTTTAACTCTATTAATAATGTGTACTAAATACGAAGATATAAAACAAGTAATTTACAATCTATTTAAAGTAAAAGATTATCGTGACTTGAAGAAATAAATTGATGGTAGAAATATAGAAGAGACTAAAAAATAACGAACCGACGACTGGAGGTAACTCTTAACTTATTGGTTAGGAAAATAACAAATATGACTTGGAGTCATACTTATATCAAGTGGAGAACGAATTATAAAAATTGTTACAAGCTACAGGTAACATTTTTTCTTTAATAAAATGGAGTTGAGACGCGTCATGATAAGAGAACACTCTTAAAAAAGAAAATATTAACAAACTTGACAAACAAAATTTTTTTAGTATATTGATATTGATTAGGGTCATCACCGTCAGAAGAAATAGATCCTCCGTCAAGTGTCTCCAAGTAGTGTGGTTTGCAGAGTACTCTGTCCTCGTGGAGTGCGAACTGTTCGCCTGTGGACAGTTGCCGTCCACATGCATCGCATGCGAAGCACGCCAGATGGTAAACCTGCTCTCGCGCCTTCCGCACCCAGTCTGATGAGGAGATGCCCCGGCAGCACTTGGAACACTTGGCACCGAAGCTCCTGCGCACAAATGAGGAATCAAATCGCAACGTTGGCGGGATTAAGGGCAACTATTTTTGAAATCAGTATTAACTATGATGGTTTAAAATATATTTTGATAAATCGGCATCTGTGGTTCTTTTGATATTTTTTTAGTATCTACGTCTGTAATATCGGTACAAAAGATTGTACATATTTATATATTCGACATTATTACAAGCATCATTGTCACGTGACTAGTCGATATAACGTAATCATAATAAAAAATATTACAAAAGCGAAAAAAAAATTTAATCAGTAAGAGAAACTATTTAATAATTAAATCAAGATCGTTACAGATAAATTTTATTCTTAACAGAATTGACGCATTATAATAATATAAATAAAGTAATTAATAATATCCTCATGACTGTAAACTTATATCGGGTAGAGACAGATATTTGACAAACACAAAGTTGTCGACATTATGTTTGAACGTTACACTTGCATTCTCGCACTTTAAATTTAAAGACACAGAATTGTGGGCAATTTCCTCTGTGACGTTGAATTGGAAGAGAGAACGCGAACCGTTAGTTGAATATGTCGAAAATGAGTTTTAATTCAGCTACTCAGTGCATATTATTAGTAAGCGTTATTTTTGTTTTTTTGGAAAAAATATATTACCGTCAGTATCAAGTCAAATAATTGTTTATCTTATTAAATTAGAGAAAATAAATTTATTTAAATAACTTTAATGCACGTCATACATGAGTAAAAAGTACATATGGTACCTAGTGGCATTTTCTACCAGTCTACAAATAATAATATATTAGCATAACTGTTTCGTAAAAACATATTTTAAGGTATAGGTATACTATATATAATATATATAAGGTATTGATAATTTTATAACTACGTTTGTATAATGATTACAAACCTTTTTATGTCACGGCATGTATATGCGTTTATTCTATCACAAATAAATTTTAATTAAAGTTTAAACCACAATGAGGCCGAAGTATAATATTAATTGAAAGTTTAATTTATAGTCTAATAATGAAATTGAAATATAATCATGATAAAATAATAAGTAATAAATAGTAACTCTATTACAGGGTAACTTTTTTCGCATACGCTAATGCAAAGGAACTTGGTATATAGGTACTTATTTACGTTACAAATGGATTCCATGTTCGCAGTGCGCACAAAGGTTTTATTCGCATTGCTCTATATGTAAAAAATAAATGAAAGTATGATGTAGGTAGTCGATGAATAACGATTAGTTATCTGTGGGCACGGCATGAGTTATGGCAGGAGCGTGGTGGTCACTTTTTCCAATTACTTTGTTGTTACACATTTTATTGCATTTTTAATAAGCGCGCACGCCTTCTCGAAATTTATGGTACAACGGTCACCTGATGTTGTATGTTTTTATGTATACAATGATTTCCTTTAATTATAATTATCAGGATGAGGTTAAATATAAAGCAATATAGATACCATTTCTATACATTAAATAATATATGTTTCTCAAAAAAAAAAAAAACCTACAGTATCGGTTGTAGGTACGAAGCATCCAAGTCTATGGTCTAAATGCTTCTTTAACGCAGTAAAGAAGAATTTGTCAACTTCGCTTTTATCAGTTGATTAATTAGATCAAGCGATATTATGCTATCTTTAAGCCGTTTCTAGTATCCATGGTGGTAGGTGGCGCTAGTATAGAATAGTGAAAAATTAATAATAATAATAATGGCAATAACATAATAAACTAACAAAAATGTTTTGCAATTTGTTTCTACACTGAGCTGACGAGCTTTCGGTATTGCTGTAAATAACACGTAATGACACAAACTATATATAACACAATGTATTGTTCACCTTTAAATAAGAATAATCATATGTGATTTGTAAGAATTTAAATAAACGCCCTATCTATCTACCTATTACTACGAATGAACTAACACAAACCCGGAGTATTTTACAGAGGTTTGCTAAGAAATAAACCAGTTTATCAGTTACTGCGTTGCGCTCAATGAGTGGGAGATCTGGCGATGCTTTCCTGTGACGTGGACTGGGAAATCCTAAGCCTTGTTTTCATTCTGTTCCTGAAGGGCCAGTAATAGATCTCGATAAGCCTGCCTCAATTCCCGCTATGCTAAAAAATAGCCCTCGTTTTTGTTTTTCCAAAAAGAGATAACTACATAATATAATCTGTTTTTGAATGAAGTTTGCGTTGTACGGATTGCAGCCAATTAATTATATGCTGAATGTTATTATCTAATTAATTTCATATGAATCGTCTGTGGAATTAATAATCAGATGTAGTTTGAGATGCAGCTGCCGTTTGCTTATAGGATTTGTTTTTATACCTACTAAAGCCGTATTCAATAAGTCGATCTGCCAGTTTTGTGTAATGTTAATATCTGTATACACCTATCTATGGAATGGTTTTGAATGAATATTCTATCGACGTATTTCATAAAATTTAAATGCAAGTTTAAGGAAAAAACGAAAAGGTTAGTCGACATCACAAAAGACCGAAGAGCTGGCAGTTACCAGGATTTGGACTTCCTAGAAACTGTCGTGGTTAATTCCTAGTGAAGGCGGCATAGTGAGCAATTGTTTAGACTTACTTCTCATCAACTTCAACTTGTGTTTTGATCGGCCTGACTTTTCGTTATACTAGCAATCCTCTTGTTCCTTCGAACTATATAAGTTACTATAATATGACTATTTCTATTAATATACATAATCCCTTTAAATGAAGTCAAGGAAATATTTCTACAAAATGGATATAACAATCTAGTAGCAAATGTGGGCATATGAAAGGTATTTCCGGTCGCATTTAGTATGTGGACATTTTAGATGTGGCTTGCTCTCTATAATGGGCCGTTAATGGGTTGGTATAGTATATGTTCGATGCACCGGCAACGAAGTGCAAACTCGCGTGTTACTATATTATCAATTCAGCGTAGAATCGTTATCTAACTTATCCACACCGATGTTTCAAAGTGGGATTTGCATTTCAAAACGCAGCGCGCACAGCGCCGCGCGTTATCAGCACTTATTAACATTTTGTCGCCGCCCGAATCAATTAACTGCCGCACTCGCATAATAATTAAACTAAGTGACAGATTAACAAGTTTTAACACTTGGGCGTAATGAAGATGTCGCGTATACCCGTCTGATAAACGTGGAGCCGATGCCTATTCATTGGGAACATGGGGTGGTCCGGCTACTGTTTACTCTCTCAGCGACAGCTTTTTTGTTTCATTGTGGCACATAAATATAGACATTAAGGTTATTCCATCTTGTTTTATCTGTTGTAAATTGTCTACTCCTTATACATTTTTATTTATTACCAATTTCTGCCGCACAGCTGCAGTTTATGTAAACTATCTTTTGGTTGGAAGAGCTATCTAATTATAGTGTATGAGCAATGACTCCGTGGTCATCAGGTATGGAATATGGTAACACGGTCATGTCGGTGTTCTTAAAGAAAGGTGACGGTTACCACTTTCCAACGAATTGGTCACCAGAATCACATTCAATACCTTTCATTCTGTTTGAGTACATTGACGCTATTGTCATACAATATTCTATTGAATATTTGAGCCTTACAAAGAGATATTGTATATTCTTGTTAACTTAAACGGGTTAAATTAATCTATTTTGGTTTTATTTCGTTAAAGTAATTAAAACAAAAAAGAAAATAAGGATATGACATCATTTACAGTTAGATATTTGGCGTGATAAATAAATTGATGGCCGAATAATGTGGTGCGATGACAGTGTCCGGTGTCCGACGCTCAATGTCCGGTGTCCGGTGACCGCAGGCCGGCGCGGGCGCATCGCAAACCACCGCAGGCGCCCGCCATAAATCCTTACTCGTTGATTGCTTTCCGCGGCGCGCGCGCAGTCCGCACCCACTCCGTCCCCCATTTTAATACCATTCAGTACGTCCATTCGACGACATGATTTAAGTTATTTGTTTTAGATACAAGTCCAATCTGAGATTCATTGGAATATTATACGAGCGTTTGTTTGAACAATTTCGAGTCGGGGAGGGCCGCGGGCGATCCGTTGACGAATGGTGCGGCACAATGCGCCACAAACGACGACTGTCTACTTCCCCATTAACAAGCTCCTACGATTGCTTATATATTAACACTTTTAATTGCTTTCATAGTTCGGGCGACAATTTACATTCGGCTGTTTGTAGATCATTGCCGTTAAGTTTACAATTTGTATTAATAATAAATATTTACAACATTTTTATGATGTGTGATAATGAAATGTGTAATTATTTTTGTTATCTATTTAAAAAATGGAATAGAAATATATTTATGCCATTAAATTTCAATTTAAGCATTTTTGAATAGTCATACTCATATAATTAACCCCTCATTCAGAAAGCTCATCATAAACAGAACGAAATTAGGGATAATTGTTGACAGAATACAAGATGATGGATAGATGGATGGATATTTACTATAAAATGGTAAATATTGCGTAGATATTAGAAAATACAACATGACGCCTGTTGTAACTCACATAGATATGTTGTCATACTTGAGATTCAAGGGGTTCTGTCTGTAATTTTACTGCAAGTTCTTACCACGGGAGGACATGTTGCGAATTCAGCTGGTACAATGGTACCCACGCAGTTTGAGTACTGAATAATACGCTGAAAATCTGTGCTATAGCTTCGGCTGCAACAATATTGAGTCCTTCTTAATAAATATTTTATGGTAGCGTATTTGTTTTCATTTTTGTTATATAGGTACGTGGACATGTATACTTGATTAGAGGTATGTGGACTATTACTGATTCACACTACTACATTAGTTTAATCTATAGCTAATTTTAATGTTATATAATTATATGTCCAAAATAAATATATCCACCCGTGGTGGTCGAAAAGAAGAGAATGTGGCCACGTTAGTCAGCGAATTCTTGGCGAATTCACCAGGAATTTATTAGAACTTCACTAGTAAAATAAGGTCATTAGTCGTTATTAGCAATCCCCTTTCCGTCCGATA